AGAATTAAGACTAAATGTGCTTTAAAAAAAATTTCAAATGTTAAAAGGTTATAATAAACACCAATAACTTTGGCGTCCCGACGGTCGCGGTCGGTGCCTCACGCAAGGTTGTGCGTTTTGTGCCCCTCTCCATTGATGCCATATAGTGCTGAAGAATCATCGCTTTTCCTCATTTAAACATGTTCCATCGCATGACCAGGCAACCGTGGGAGCGACGGGCCTGCAAGTAGTGATCTGAACCATATATAATTGTTGTAAATACTCCGAGATATTTTTACATGTATGTTCCTCGGTTGCCAAATTTTACCAAATAAAATTCAGAAAGTCGGACCGTGCGTAGGACTTTTTTGCCATCTCGGGTAATTAGGACGACGCCAAAGTTCTTTTGGTATAATTCGAATATTCAGGAAAAGTCGTCCCAATTTTTCAGAAAATTTTCTTTCCTATATGATCTAAATTATTAGAATTTTTCAGATAGGATTATTCATTATTTGTCTCAAAAATTAACATTTAAAGAAGGGAAATTCAACAACCCTCGGATGTTCATACGACGTTTTTCCTTAGCACGGCAGTATAGGGGTGTATACTCCCTCCCAGCCCGAAACTTTCTGGTCCAAGCATGACGCTCGCCACGGAACCACGAAAACACGAAAAAGAGAGCGTGAGCCACACATGGTATACCTGTACAGTATGCTTGCTTCATTTCCACAATTCCACCTTTCTGGTCCAGCATAGAATACCGTTACAGAGAGAGTACTGACCGTAAAAGAGGGGCCAAACTTTTGATTATGATTCGCACATTTCGCGCTGATATTTAGATATGCGTAACATAATGTTGAGTATTAAATATAAAGCTTATTAAGGTGAACCCCAAGACCCAATTCAAATTTTTGGATGAATAGAAAATGAAAACATCGAAGTCCAACCGCGGAATCTCTACCTCAAAAGAGTATCATGGTCCACGCGTCTCACGTAAGGAAAACGTAAGATCCCTTCCTATATGTGATAGGTATTCATTCAAAGTTCGCTTTCAGATTTACCAGATACCTAACGAATTAATTAGGAAGCACGGGGTCTGTAAACGATTAAAACCATATTGCTAATCTGCTGTATAAGACTGAACAAACGACAACTCTTTGTAGGAGAGAGAATAGAAGTACTGAGATGTCTGCTGAACATTTCACGCTTATATCGCTCCATATAAGCTTTGATTGATAAACACATGTTTTAAACGTACTTATAGACAGTGGAAATCGGATACAACGACCCTCTAGGGACCGGCCTGATTTGGTCGTTATATTCGATTGTCGTTATAACCGTTGCACAAATACACTGAGTCAATGGGAAGTCAATCATGAGTACGGCCAGATCGCACGTCGCTATGACCGATATGTCGTTTTAAGCGATGTCGTAATATCTGATTTCCACTGTGTTATTATAAAGATTTATATTCGCTTTCAACGTTTCCGTGTAGATAACAAATGTACTAGGAAGCATGAAAAGAAGACCGAATATCTGGCTCCATAAACTTCCATAAAGCCAGTGGAGAATGGGTAAACTACTGCCAGATATCTTCCACCTCAGATTTGCCTTCAATTTCGCCGCACGGGCAACAAACATACCGATGAATAGGTATCTATTCGATGAGACAGTGAAGATTTTTTCCTTTTGATCATCGCCTTAAAAAAAGTGGATCATTCGCATATTATGTACTGCAGAATCGAACATTCTCCGATGGAATCGGGAATTTAACCGTAGGGCAAATCGGAATTATGGCCGTGAGAAATACGCTAGATGCGTGAAAACGGTCAGCGTTCTGCATAAAAATTCGTCAATAGAAATGTAGCATAAAAAATTTACTGTGTAAGGATACATATTGCCAATAAGCATGGGATTGAAACGAAAGATTTACCCACGAGAGAAAAAAAGACGGAACCGATTCATATATTGTACTCCTGTCACTAATTTCTTTGCATAGGAAAATCAATGTATAGAAGGCTTCTTTGCGGCCCGGAAATGTTGGGATAGGCTACCAGAACAAGATAACAAAAGTTTGTCGGAATCGGCTGTCCGCTAAGGCCACCATCTAGAAAAAAGGGGGCGGGGAGGCCAAAATACGCCGACGGCGACCATTCTTTTGCTTATATCTCAAAAACAATCTTTCATAAAGAGCACACAATTTCATATTAGAAACACTATACATTTATTCATTTGTGACCTCCAGATTAAGAGGTATCGCGGTACTTCTCTGCGGCTGCGAGGGTCGAAGTTTGTTTGAAATTGCGCTTTTCCCACGCAATCTGCAATAATTATCTACGCGTAGTAGCGCCTACAACACTGCAGGAATGCTTCATGCATTGCGCTAAACACAGCGCAGTTGCCGGTCGGCACGCAGAGCATATTAGCGCCTACAACACTTCATGAATACTTCACGCATTGCGCGCCGAGCACAGTGCGGTCACCGGTTGGCGCGGAAAGCATGTTAGCGCCTACAAGACTGCATGAATGCTTCACGCATTGCAACAAACACATTGTGCGGTATCTGGTCAGCGTGAAACGTACATGGGCAATTCTGCTTCAATTTATATTGGGAGAGGAGGGGAGGCCGAGGAGAGGGATGCATGGAGGGAGGGGGGAGAGAGAGAGATGGATGAAACTTCTAATTCTCGGCGAAAATATTCATCTTTGTTTAGAAATTATTTCAAAAGTTATGGAAATAAGAAAATCCATGAATGCCTTAAAGTACGCTATTATTCGGGTGGTACAAGTCGACAACTCCCGTGCATTTCTGAAAAAGTGAGAAAATCGAAATTGCCTTCAATTTTGGGCATGCAATGCGCACATCCGTTGAACGCACGAATAATTGCATCAAGGTTCAAGGCGCTTTAACCAACACAGGTCGAGATAATCGCCGATTTGAAAAGGTCATTCTAAAAAAGTATCAGAAATTAGTATACCAGAGAAACAGTAAAAAACGTTTTAATCGATCCGTCCTAAATTTCAGAGCTCTAAACTATGAAAGCGATCAAGTACTGGTGCTCAAGTTCTTTAAAGAATGATAGATTTAATTATTGCTCTAAATACTCTGGTCTCGTATCACTTTCCTCCATGTAGGTACTCTTTTATTAGAGTGCTACACCACACACAACTGACGACAGTGGCGTGGCGTGCTTTGCGATAAGTCGATTGCCATGCCATTTAAACCAATGTAAAAGGATCGATAAACAGGGTATTCGCAGCGAACACCTTAATAATCGATTCTTTACCATAGGTTTAAATGGCATAACGATCAATCTATCGCAATACACGCCACGCCACTGCTGACGAGTCCCGTACATCTCTGAAGAAGTGAAAAAAGCTAAAGTGCCTTCAATTTTTAAATATACAACACGCACTACCGTGGAACACGAATAGTTGCATTCTATCGCTACAGTCAAGTCCGTCAACTCATGGTCAGTCTAGTCTTAGAAACGCGGAAGCGCCTCTAATTTTTGCATTTTCAACATGCTGGAACTGTACTTTTTAGTGTCCCACGTGACATTCTACTGCTGTCCATTCTTTCGATTTGAAAAAAATCATTGGATTCTATTGGCATTCTATTCGTAACACAACCCGTGCCCCCCTTTAAAAATTACGTACCGCTCAACGGGCCTCCCCCCCCTCCCTTATGAGATCAAATAAATTATAGGAAACTGTAGAATATATTGCTGGCTAAAATTTAAATTATTTTAATAAAAGTGTGACAAATGACGTCATAAAAATGAGAATGATACATTTGCGATTTGGAACTATAAATTCTGGCTCATCTGAAAAAACACTTATGTGCATACATTGTTTATAGACTGGGCCAGAATTCATAGTTCCTAATTGCAAAATGTAGTCCATTTGAGATTTCGTGTGTTTTTCATCAATGGGAAGAGTTACGTAGCTCTGGCACTGGCCCCCTTCCCCTCTTATAACATATCGTAACGCAGACTCATACTCCCTCTTCCCCTGGAGCGTTACGTAATTTATGCAGTGGCGTGGCGTGCTTTGCGATATGTCTATTGATTTCCCATTTAAACCTATGGAAAGGATCGATAGACAGGGTGTTCGCAGCGAACACCTTAATAATCGATTCTTTACCATAGCTTCAAATGGAGAAATATCGATAAATCGATCATTCACGCCTCGCCACTGAATTTATGAACGGTCGCCCTATTCATTCTTACCGCCCCATAGATCCATCGGATGATTCGTCGTTCTAACATCCATCGCATGCTCTGGTCTTCCTCTTTTAGGTGGGCTAAAGAAAAACATCATATGAGCCTTCAAACGTTGCCATATTTCCTTCAACAATAATAATTTAATTTACTAGGAAAATAGAGGAACTTTTTCCTCAAAATTTTCAGGCATTATTGTTCGCAATTTAGTCTAAAATATCTGAAAATTTCGAGGAAAAATATGCACAACTTTCCTAAAAAAATGTAGGGTTTATTCAGGGAATTTTGGCAACTCTCAAATGTTCATACTGCCGTGTTAAGCAAGAACGCCGTATATAAATCCATCAAAATTTTCCCTCGTTTTTTGGAATTTAACACTTTCACGTTAAGTTCTTGGTAGTATTTGCGAAAGATTTCTGTAAAAATATTGGCCCAGGGTACGAAAGTTTTTCTGCTATGATACGTTGTTTCCAAAAAATGTAAAATGGCGTTTACAGCGTTTTTGAGTTGCACGGCAGATATATGGCGTTCTTCCTTATTAGCATGACAGTGTTGAGGCCCTGCTCGTTTACGAGCCGTAAGTCCAAGTCGCGGTCTCAGATTAAGCCGCACCGCAGCATCAGCACAGGGGCAACTGAGAATAGGACACATCCTGAGGTCCTGTCAAGTGGCTCGATAAACAGCTTTAATCCGGCGACGACGGCAATCTCGCAGCGGCGCATTGTTACGTAACCCGACGCGTGGATGCGGTGCGGCGCGCGGTGCCGACCGGACTCGTCAGTTGCCATCCGCAACGCTGTAAACAGTATCGCCTCATCCGCGAGTCCAAGATCACCTGTTGCTCCGCGCAGCATCGTACTCAGTTTCGCGAGCTGTCAATTTATCTCACAGAGAAGTTTCCATCTCTTTAAGTTCGTAGTCTTCCGTAATTTCCGTAACGGTGGTGACCGATTCGGCGAGAGCGGGGGTCGATTGGTGAGCGCCCTCGCGAAAAAGATTGCGTAATCGGACGGAGCCCTGTGACCGTGTCGGCGTGCCATTATGTGTTTTACGGAGCCAGCTATCAGCTCCACCTTGGTTTTTTTCGTCAACGGCGTCAAGGTGAGTCGCGCACGCATCCCTCTTTTCTAGGATTGTTGAGAAGGGGTTCTGGGATTTTCGAGGAGGGATCCTGAAACTGTCAGGGATACGGAGGGCGGAGGGTCGACGAGGGGATACTAGGCAGTAGGCGATGACGTAACCATGGCACGGACATTGGGGGTGATAAAAAAATCTTCCTTGGATAACACACTTTGTAACGAGTTTGCCCTTTCTCCTAAATATCATATCTGATTTCTTGGGATCTTTAGGGGTAGCCAAGTAGAACCATTCAACTACCCGGGTCAAAATGCGCTTCGGGTGATTATACTGACTGCAGTTCAGCATTTTGCTGATAAAAGTGACCGTCCTTAGGGTCTTATAGTCTTCTTCAGGAAAATTGGATTGCATCTTGTAATGAGAAAGTACTATCTGGCTCATTTTAAAAACAACAGCCTAGTCTACGTCGTTTATCTATGCAGATAGGGTTTTTTTCTGGACGAGTCAGTTGAAAAAATGCAGTCTAATTGCTAGCAAAGCTATTTTAGTCGAAAGTTTAATCGTTTTGTGTAACAGCAGGTTTGATTCAAAAAAATTTTACCTCAAAATAGCTTGAAAAAACTCTGAAACTAGAGTCCTACTATAATTGCGGTGAAATTATGATATTAGGATCTTTTGGATTTTTTCAAACGATTTCCCCAATAAATACATTAACACCTATCGTACCTATTACAAACTGCTCTGACTCATACAGAGAGAAAAATTTATCTTTAATTCAAAAATTATGAATACGTCGGTTGACTATAAAATTGATCTTATCAGTACCTACCAAAGCTCCCCCTTAAACAGTTTGGGTACGCGTGGGCTAGTTGGAGGTCAGTTCTCAGTATCAATCTCCCCCTTTACCTCTTGAGAGAACCCTAGAGAACTTAACCCTAAATTTTTCCCCCAGCGCTCAATCATCACTTACAAGTTTATATTCTGAAATCTTATCGGCTACGTACCGCCACTATGATAAAAGGTCAATGATCACTCCACTTTCACGCTTAGGTTGATGACCTACAATGATTTCCCTAACCAGGGCATCCACTGGATAGCCGTTCGTCATAGTTAACTTTCTCAGCCTCATTGGCGGATCCAGCAAAGTGGCAACTTTGTTTTTACTCCATTTAAACCTATGGCAATGTATCGATTCTTGGAGGGGCCTGGCATTCCGACAAGAATCGATTATTTAACATAGGTTTAAATGGAGGGAATCCCGTGTTACCAAATTGCAACCTAAAAGCTAGCATCCAATAGTGAGACACATCCAGCGTGTAAAGGCAATTTTTTCTGCCGGTTGAAATACGTCAACCCCACGAAGACTAAAAGCAGGGTTATACCCTCCCCCTCCTCTCAAACCGTATTTTCAGTCAGCAATATTACATGCGATACAACGTGATTTTAAGAGGTAAGAGACAGAAAAATCTCAGTGCAAATAAAAAAAAAAAAAAGTTTGTCGTTCAAATCCTTAATTTTAAAATCTAAAATTGATCGGCTGCGCATCGTAGATCCAAAAAGACTCTTTTGGGATGATGAAGACTTAGGAATGTAAGCAACGTCGAGGCAAAAACAACGAAAGGATTGATATAATAATTTAATGTAAATAAAATCATAATAATTCATTGTAAACATAACTTAAATTATCAGCATTTTTTTTGCAAGTCACGTTATTTTACCGTTGGATTTGTATTCGAGATGGCAGCGTTAAAGCTCAAAGCTCTTTTTTTGGAGGGACAGTTATTCATATTTTCATGATTTGAAGTCTCGTTTCTATGAATTTCCCCTATAATGTAGATAGACGTCTTTTAAATAACTGGCGCACATTTTATCTGAAGACTCTGTTGTTATCGTTCATACAGTCGTTGTTTTTGTTGATGTAGTTGACGCAATGTTTAGCTCAAACACTGAGATATTATCAGTCAGGTTTTCCTGGCGATTGTTATTCACATCAACCGTTTATCCCACGTCACTTTTGGTGGTCCTCATTATTAAAGGCCTCGGAACGTAATATAAACTTCGAATTACCGTGCGTAAACAGAACGAATTTATCAACGAAAACAATATTTTTGAAACATCTTCCAGCCTACCAATGCTGAGGAAATGCGCCTCGTGAGCATTCGTTTCCTTTCATCTGATAAAATATAATTGTTTTTTAAAGCGTGAGTATTCGTTCGTTTAAAATGTTCAGAGCATTTTATTTACGATTCAGGCTAACTCATCTAAAAGTAGTGTGGAAGAATATCCATAAAAATTAATGTTTTTTGAGGCTAGGGAATTTTTGAGAAAAATCAAATGCACATACTGAACGACTTCTTCCTTAGCATAGCTACACTGCTACAGGGCCCTTAAAACTGTTGCAGTTTTCAGATCTCGCAACGACACACAGTGGATCGAGTCAATCAGAGAGGTCGGACATGACATTTTTAACAACAACTGCAAATTTTGATGTCTAAACACAAAGGTGACGAAGGTGTGAGGTGGCAATGTAGCTTTTAATGTAGCAAGAATAGTTCTTTGTGCTCTACCCTTTATATCAAGATTCTATTCAAAAGAAATTATTATAAATAGAAATTATTAGAAATTATTATTAATTATTTAATTATTATTATTATGTTTGGCTAATTTGTCACATTTTAAATTTTAAGGGGTGATTCTAAATGAAAATTTCGCGAGGAAATCAATGGAACCACTTCTGTAACCTTGAAGTTTAGTATGAACGGAGCTATGAGCTTTTAAAGTGTTTAAATTTTGTCCGACCTTTCCCATTTGTCGATCCATAATGTGCGACAGGAGCATCAAACTACATATATACGATGCTAGAAACCATGTAGCCGTAGGTAATGATAATCCCCTGTGATGGTGTCAGGAAAAATGTGTTAAGGAATCGCGGTTTTCACCGACTTTTCCAAATTCGCGATTTATACTGTTCTCAAGGAAAGCTCTCAAAGAAATAATTAGTTTGATTTTTTGGTGTTTTTTTGCGTCAATGGATGCAAAACGAACCCCCTTTAGCAGTGATGCACTAATTCCATCTTGAAGCCTTTTTCTCTTGACTCTGTGGAATTTGACGTTTGGAGAGTTCGGCACCGTAACTAGTCAAATTTTCTCCTTAGTGATGGAAGTGAATACTGGAGTGTGATGGTCAGTTAACTAATGCAAAACCGTCCGATATCTAAACTCATTCCAGATTTCTCGGAACTGACAACGTATTGATGTTATTAAAAAGGTGTCATGCGTGTTAATCGAGAAGGGTGGAAAAATGATCACGGCTCGTGTTCTAATTATCTGATTCAATTAAAAACCGTTGGTTTGACTTAAGTAATTTTATGATCTCAGAAAATGATAGACACGAACATCCCCTAACTCCAGATACTAACATTCCGATTTACCAGGATATCCACTAAAAAAATTTGAAATATATTGATCGCACTCAAAATGTATTACGTCAGAGTCGAAGATCTACTTAAAACCACACATCCGTCTCTTTCACAACAACTGAAGCGCTAAAAACATGTACAGAGGGGGCGTTTCTCGGTTGCGGTGTCTCAAAAACTTGGCCGAAGTTTAATCCACCATGATTCTAACTTTATACGTGATTTTTACTGAATATTGATCATGATTTTATAATGCCCTGGACGAACATTTTAAGAAAACCCACCCGACAGTTTCCCCTCTAAAATATAAATTAACATTTGAGATTGTGAAACATTGCAACGTGGGAGTGCGCTTTCTGCATGATCTACGCCTCAACTTCGTTCTGCGACGGTGCATAAAAACTGGATGCGATAAAGGAATACCTTTCGGAGGTTTTTCTCTCGTGGAAGGTTCGCCACCTTACGTAACCGTGAAAACATCGGATCGAAATGCCAATGAGAATACGGATTGAGGGCTGAGACTTACGTAACGCTCACGCGCTGGGTAAGAGTCCTATGCTCACCTGCGGCGCTTACAATTAAACATCCTTTGGTCCGTATCCAGACCAACTACAAAGTTGCACTGTTTCCACGGTGTCAGCGTATCTGCCAACTGCATAATCCCATCATTGGTCACATATTTTATAGTACTTTTCAAAGTAGTGATCGCATCAAGATCAGCAATGAATGGTAAATGCGGCCGCTCACACAGTCACGTATTAAGGAAGGCGGGGGGGGGAGGGGGGCAGAGACAAAGGGGGCGGACTTCAACGGTGAAACTACCAAACCACGTATCTCGGTTTGCGACGTTGCAAACTTCATGAGATATGATAGATAATCCGCAGCCCGTGACAAGATATACAATAAAAAACAATTTAAAAAGGGGGTAACAAGGGTAATAAAAAGTTCACACACAAGACCAAAACGTTTCGGCTGAAAATTCAGCCATCCTCAGTTGGATAAGTAAAAATAAAAATGGTTAAAAATCTGAAAAAGTACCTGACTGTACCTTTCAAATTGAAAATGTTGTTATGACAGCAAGACAGCAGGTTGCAGACTTTCTGTCATACTTCATTTTTGAAATGAAAAACTACTTGACATCAATTCGTCGCTTGGCTGACATAAGGGCGTAACTACACATTTAGATGAGCCCGGAAAAGCATTGACACGTACGGAAGACAGGGTTCATTGCAAAGTGCAGTTACGCCCTTATTTCAGGTAGGCGACGAATTCTTGAAAACTTCCGTAATTTTTCTTCTCAAAGAAAGAAAACATTGTGTAAACTTCAAGGAATGATATTGGTTTGTTCTCCTGCAAAAAAATGAAATGGGAGTGGAGATTTTTAAACACTGCAAAAGAGATACGTTGTCTGGTAGTTTCACGTCTATGTGTGTCAAGTTCAGCGTCAGGGTTAAGTGACAGGGTGCTGTGGTCACAGGTGTTTTCTAAACGGTCCCTTCCCTTAGGGAGACCCTATATCGACGGTGAAACTGCAAAAATGCGTATCATTCTCGGTCGATGTTCCTCAATCTCCATTCGTATTTTAGTTTTTGAAAGAAGGCCGCATCAACATCATGGCTTGCGATTTTCGCATAATATTATGCATATAAACAAGAAAAATCACTACAGTTTTCAAAAAATTACGTTCAGTACTTGGTTTCCTGGTAGGAAATTAATTTTGACAGTAAGTCTACAACGCCGCAAACCGAGAATCATAAGAAAAACGCATATCGACGGTGTGAGTCAGCAATCACATTACTCAGTTTGCGACGTTGCAGACTTCCTGTCATACTTTATTTTTTAAACGGAAAACTTCTCAACGGCAATTCTTTAAAATTGCCGTGATTTTTCTTCTCGGTGCGAAAAAAATTCAGCAAAAACTTCAAGGAACTATGTCAATTTGTTCTTCTTTTAAAAAATAACGTAGAGGTGGAGATTTTCAGATACCGCAAACAAGATATGTGCTTGCGGACTCACGCCGTCGATATATGCATTAGGTCAGGGATTTAACCCCGAAGAACCTCGCGGTCACGGGGCGTACACCCTAGTTTAACAAGGAAAAATTGTACATTTTTCCATAAAATTGGACGCTTTGCCGCGATGCAAACTGATGATATGCGCCGTGCAGCAAAGAGATCGGTGTTTTGGGAATTTTCTACTCTCCTAAAGAAGAGGAATATATTTTGCAAAACAAGACCACGGATTTTTTCAGGAGGGGCTCAGGCCCAGGCGATGGGTGCATGACAAAGGGATAAGCAGGGTCTCAAATTCTGAATTTCAGCAAGGAACAATTTGTAGGCGGCATCACACGATTGGCAGAGGGTGTAAAGCATTGCGATGTATCCTCGAAGATGAATAACGAACGACTTATAGGTTTCTTTTCTTATAGGATGAACTTTAATTAAAAAAAATTAGACCCAGAAAGTTTCAATGAAACCCATTTTTACTTGAAGAGTTGTTGGAAAAATGTGATACATTTTCAGGTTCTAGTGTGGATTTAGTTAAGGTACCGCTTGGTCAGGCTTTGCTTCAAAGGAATAGTTTTTGATGAAAATAATGTTCCAATGCATTCTTAAAAATTTCTCCAAAAAGACCAGTTAGGTAAGATATTTTAAAATAAGCAAATTTGTTAGACTCAATCACCCTTTTTGTCTCTTAAATTTTTATGTTAAATCCGCTCTGCATTCGATTTTATGAAATTTAATTGAAAAAATGAAAAAAAAATGTACAATTTTTTCATTTACTCTAATTGTGCTGCATATTGTCAGGTTCTTGTAAAACTACTTTATCTGCGGCAAAATGAAACAAGAACGCCAGGTCAGCGATCATTTAGAATCACTTACGTATGCATATTTCGCGAAAGTATCTCTTACGTAAGGTTCGAGTCAATGTAGATACTTTCTTCATAAAAAGCACCCAACACTCTAAAAAAAATTCCACAATTACGTAATTACTTTATTTAAAGACGAATTTTCTGAAAATCTCTCTCATAGACTTTTCTTTGCGCGATTCCTTCAATAAATTGAAGTGCACCGACATTTTATACTTTTTAAAACAAAGTCTCTGAGGGATCAAATTATTTGAAGGAGTTATAGCCACATTGGAGTTTCATTATACAGTACCTTTGGATTTTTGCACTCTACAAATTATTTGAAGAATGGTTGCTAATTTTCTTGTAAATTGTTTTTGAAAAGTCTCCCAATGATTTGACTTAACTTTCTCAGAATTGATCTATTTTAAACATTGTCCCTAGTCACTAACAAGGTAATAAGGAGCCAGTCGAAACTTTGCGGGATTGCAATGCAATCAAGCTCCTGTGGCTTTGACCGTTTACTTCACATTAGTTTATTGCAATAACGGCATTCGTGGTTCAGCTGACTAAGACCCCTATGTATATTTACGCATTCTACGCTGTTGGTTTTAAGAGCTCCTCCAAACGTTTCACAAAATATAGGTATCTTTTTTTAATAAAATTTTGCGTAGAAAGCGAAAGTTGTGTCTATAACTATCGGTTTTTCAAATCTTGTGGTAGAATATTTTGTATCAAGGATAGAATGTAAGTAATAATATCTAAATTTTGTCAGGGATCAAATTAATTGGAATCATTATTTTAAGTCAACGAATCCTGCTCACTAATAGACCTAGCGTTTGATAAATGTCGGGTTTTTGCTCGTGAACACAGGGCCAGATTCACCTACTTGCCGCCCATGGGCCGCCTGTATTTTGCCGCCCCCTTCTCATTCGTTTTGAAACTCGATAAAAACCATCAAGTGAACGTGCCGGCGGGGGAGGGGTGCATAAGACGCATTTACTCGTGTTGAACACATTTTTCGGGAAAGCCCTGTCAACACTACTAGCAAAAGTTCGCGGAACTTTGTGCGAAAGTTAAGTTTCGTAAACCTATCTCTGTGTGGACAACAAGGCCTTCCATGTTTGGCGCAAAGCGTGAAGTATTCAGACAGTCTTATAGGCGCTATGCGCCGACCGCTGCTGAACGCACTGTGTTGGACGCAATGCGTGAAGTCTTCACGCAGTCTTGTAGGCGCTATGCGTTTCACGCAGACCGCACTGTGATTGGCGCAATGCGTGAAGTATTCATGCATTCTTGTAGGCGCTATCCGTTTCACGCTGACCGCAATGACCGCACTGTGTTTGATGCAATGCGAGAAGTATTCGTGCCGTCTTGTAGGCGCTAATATGTGTTACATGCCGATCGCCGAGCCGAGGGCTTCTCCTTTTCATCTCAAGTCCTTGTTATAACATTTCTCTCTAAGTCGCGCCGTTCCAGGCCAAATTACGTGTTTGGTTTCTCTCTTAACGCGACTAATTGAAGATACAGTCTCTGGTATCACTAAGAGACGACAAAATTAGAAATTACCATACTCTCAGTATATGAGAGATTTTGTCGCCTTTTTTCGTTTGTAATTTTTTTTGTCTAAATCCGATTTTTTTATACCTACACTTAAAAAAATTGCAAATTTTTGCCGCCCCTTAGATTTGCCGCCATGGGCCGCGGCCCATGTGGCCACCCCCTTAATCCGGTCCTGCGTGAACAGCCTGTTGAACAGCCTTCGAAACTTTACGAAGCTGAGTTTAAAGCCTCGGGTATTTAGTTTCATTGGACGGTTGACTGACAGTCCGACGCGGCACTTTGAACCGTCAAGAAAGACTAGTATAAGTAGGAATTAAGTCTCTCTTCGCCTCCCACCGCCTGCACCAAATAAAATCATCTACTGTGCAACTTGCATTTAAATCTGGACTTGACTGGGTGTACTCGTATATAGGAGTCGTAGCACTGAAAACTATTACTTATTTGCTTCTTCATATCGATGATTACATTAAAAAAACAAGGATCTCAGCTTGCAACATTGTAGATTTCTTGTCGCGTTTTATTTATTTATTTTTTACTTTTTTTTTTAAAGTAATGAGCATTATTCCTTGGAATTTTTCTGAATTTTAGTTTTTCGTCTAATACAGAATGTTCCGCTCAGTGTGTTATTTTATTGTTCAAACAATACCTAATGTATGTTTGCATTGCAAATGTTGTTTCTGCAGAAAAAGTATCAGAACAACAGTAGTGGTTTTGAAATGTTGCCCGCAATCAAGATTCGAATTATGTACTTCAACTGTCTACATGTCCACAGTCTGCACTACAGAAATAATGCAGATACTTTTTTAAGTTGCTCTCCTTGATTCTCTGAGATTCCCTCCGAAATAATATTCGTCGATAAACAAGCCAGTAGTGGTGCTGTAATTCCTATAAATATCGTCTGAATTTTTTGTAAGATTACAACCTAAAATGGTATGAGATGAACGTCTAAAATAATGATGCCTCGTTCCTGCTGGCGCAACAGAATATTTTTACCAATAACTGTAAATTGCTTGGATACATGATTTTTCTCCATATTTGTTTCAGGTGGTCGATAGTGAAGTAAACCCAGAATGGACACTGCTGCAGTATTTACGCCAGAAACGTATCCTTTGTTGAATGTCAAAATGTTAAAATATGTTTAAGATCCATTGAGGTTTAAGAATACTAAATTATTCATGTCATGTCATCATTCTCTGAAAAATTATTTCAGCAAATACTTTTTACAAGATATATTTGTTAAGTCTAAAAATGATATAGCTCGGAGCCCTAGACTTAATGTCTCTCTGAATGGACGCAACACTCTTTTTTTCATCCAGTGAGCCCTATACCGTTTAGTTAGGCAGTCGAACCATTTAGAGGGAGGAGGGGAGGCGTTATTCAGTCTTCCTTGGCTTGCAAATTCTTCAGAAGAGGGTTCATTTCAGGGAGTCGGAAAACCAAAAGAGTTGCCATATCGTTATTTCTTGTTTGCTGTAAGATGATTATATTACATACTCTCAGATTCAAAGCAAGACCAACATCAGACTTATGTAATGATTTGTTGAAAGGTGAGGCTTAATTAAAGAATCTAAGTTATGATAAGAGGACAATAATACCTTGCTACTTTTTTCAACCCTTGTTCCTCAACAGCGGCACCGTTCCATGGAGGAAAGGTTGTTGTTGTTGTTTTTTTTTCAAAAAAAAGTAATTATACTATAGTTCTATGCCCATTTTATGTCAAAATTTTTGGATTTTTTTTTGCAATTGAACTTTTCCCATTTTTTTTCTAAATCTTTAAGAACCCTACATAAAATTCATCTTGAATAAGGTGTGAAATCGAACAAAATAAACCAGTCGATAAAGATACAGTGTATCCTATAAAAAGCGACATCAAGTTCAGCAGGGAATCAACATGGACCAATACCGATGGAATATCCAATTCCTTTCCAGAATCGAGTATCAACATTTTTTTCTGAAATATTCTCTAAAGAAAAATTAAGAGGAGCCAGTCGGTTAGTGCCCTCATGAACCATGTGCCTCTCGCTTGAGAACCAACCTCCTCCCACCACCTCATGCCCCTCCTCAATGCGTAGCCCCAATCAATGTTCTGATCAGACACATGCAATCGAAAACGGAACTTCATGTTTTTCGATGGAAAGAAACATTATACTCTGTCTTAGGAGCTTAAGCTAATTCCTACTTTCTTTTCTACGGTTTTTCTTACGACTATGTTTGATCCTTTACTCACTCGCTCAGTCCACCTGACCGGAACGAAGCTCGGCTGTGCAGAAGGAGGATGTGGAGCCTGTACCGTCATGGTATCGAAATTCGATCGAGTCAAGAAAAAAATCACGTAAGCCATTCATTCTGACTGAATTTCAAATTTTCTCTTCTTCTCGTGTGAATATCGTACATTATCGGCCATAGCAAAGATGAGACCTCCGCAGACTAATGTTGGGTGCTCAATTTTTCCCACGCAACGGTCCGATATCGATAGGATTTTTGATTTCATATTAATCATGTTGAATTAATATGAAATTAATGTATCAATGGTTAAATTAATATATTAATCGTTAAATTAGGTATTGGCGGTTTAAGTACTGTTAGACAATCAATATCTGTCGATTCCTCACCTGAGATCGATTATTTATAATGGTTTAAAGGGAAGAAATACAGTGTTGCCAACTTCCGAAAATTGCCACTGCATCGACAGAACAAAGTTATGAAAACGAACAGTGAGCTATCATGACGAAAATAATAAAATTACCTCTGACGCTGAAATAAAATTCGATTGAACCATCTCTCATCCGGGATAGTCCTCATTTGTAATATTCACGAATTTTCGCATAGAAATGTTCAACATGATAATCCGCTCTCGTACTATCACCTTCATTTTCCACGACATTCCTTTCGCACACCCACTTGAACGACCTATTTAAGTACTTATAAAATCAAAATACAGCGAGGCTCGAGTGATTTTAAATTTTCAATACAGCGATGAAGCGGTATCAACTCAAACTAACTTGAAAAATAATCGCGTATTGTGCATTTTAAGTTTGAAACTACGTTATCGCGTGGGTCTACGATCTGACTTTATGAAATCAATCCCCATTTCGAATCTATTTGATTTGCTCATGAAGAGGGCCTCAATGCGCGAGTGAAAGCATTCAGCAGCTTATCGCACGATGACGATGACACTTGCACTTGTGGTTGCGGTGGCGGTCGCGGCGCCAGCCAACCTTCCGCTCCTCATGCCATGCTGTCGGATTTGTTTAGGAATTTTCACAATTATTGAAGAGTTGAAATCCCAAACCTGGTCAGCTCCATTAGATGTTGCTAAGATTCTGCAAAAAAAAAAAAAAAAAAAAAAAAAAAAAAAAAAAAAAAAACTTAGCGAACGTTTCAAAACCTAGCGAACGTACACAGCTCTTGCGAAAGCCAAGCAATTCAAAACGCCTTCAATGTTTGCTGTATGCAACACGGACATCCGTCGAGTGCGAATAGTTGTATGCAGGCGCCGTGAGTTCCACTTCAAGTACCCTAACCGTTCGGCAAGCTTAAGATACAGATGTTTCTCTCAACTGGATGCGAAAAGAGCACCTCTCGGCTGCAGTGTTTCAGAGTCTCCTCTAATATTTCATTCATTGTAAAGAAAGTGAATGCATCCATTTTAAAGAAAGTGAATGCATCCATTTCACTAAAAATTTTACTGAATGTTCCTTATAATTCTACAATTCTCCGTGGAAAAAATTCTGGAAAAATCACGTATTAAATTCTCCTCCAAGGGATTAATTAACAACGGATATTCTGAAACACCACAATCGAGAAGTGCCCTTTTCGCATCCAGTGCCTCAATCAACAGGAATCGAAAGGCATGTGGTTTACAGTTGGACGTATTTCTGTCAAACGGAACTATGTGCATTATGACTTGAGCCCTGTTATGCATATATTCTTATGGGTCTCAGGGATCATGTCTAAAAGCACATAGTTCCGTTTGACAGAAATACGTCCAATTAACTCCTTAAAAATAAAACCAAAATTTTGAGAAGAGGGCCACACCACCGTTAATGAGATTTGACGCCCTCATGGATTTCACTCCACTTCGTTTACACCTTCACCTCGTTTACACCGATTACACCAAAGTTGCAGAAGCTACCGTTTTTGCGCAAATCGCCTTAGAAGTTACGATTATTACCCATTCATTTATGCGCGAGAAAAGCGAAAATTATGATAAAGTAATTACTCGTGAAAATATTCAAATTTAGGAAAGGAGGAAAGTAGGAGGTGGAAATAGATAAGAGCTGCGTTTTTTATCTGACATGTTTCTAATTGTCTCGACTGGTGTCCGTATCTGGATGCAAATTCCGAGAGTACTCTGCACTATTTACGACTGATTTGCGCCGCCTCAGAAGCATTGAGTGAATTTTCGGGAAAATTTAAGAATTATTTGCTTCCAATTTTTCAGAAAATGTCGCTTGTAATTTGATGTAAAGCGTCTGAAAATTTCAATGAAAAGGATTCATAAGTTTCTTCAAAAATAAATAGTTTCTAAAAGGCAATTTGGCAACATTCGAAAGCTCATACTGCGTTTTCCCTTAGCACGGCAGATCAACCTTAAGCCGAGACTCCTAAATTACGTACTGATCACAGACTTTATGATTCATTGTTGTTCGTTTGACACAAGACGTAATATCACACCGGGAAATAAGTTTGTTTTAAAATCGTTTCATTTTAATCTTGGAGAAACTAATTTTTAGGAGACAGTTAAAACATGTTTTAAGCTATTTTTAAAAAAAACCCAACTTGAGCATTTTCAGTTCTAGTAGACCTTTCGTAAATGTTGAAAAAAAAGTTTCTTGTGTTTAGTTTTCTAAATGAGAGAGATGTGTTTTAAAGAAACCGATATTAAAAACACTTCAAAAGGTGGTGATTATTTTTAAATAAATCTCAAACATATTTTCATAAACTTGTTTAAAACGTTTTTAAAATGATTGGGATATGACTTTATAACAAAGTGAAAAGGCATACGTCACCATAACTTATCTCCAGGAACGTTTCAACGTCCTTTTTTCCATTTCAAAGAAACATCTGTAAATAATTTTATCATTTTTAAAGGTATTTGTTTTAAAAACTTCTTGTAGGTGTCATTGTTCTATGAGGGAATATTTCTTGTTGTTGTTGTTGTTGTTGTTGTTGTTCTTCTTCTTCTTCTTCCTCTTCTTACCCTGGTAAAAATTGGCGATAGGAGCTGCGTTTCAAAATACCATAAGAGCTCTTTTAGCCGACTGAAGAAGGCGATAGAAAATCATATAGGTGGCTGTAGAAAGTGGAAAAAATCTTACGGCCGGGCTACACGAAGCGATAAAAAATTATATAGCCGGGCTATAGTTCCTATCGCCGGGCTTTACACTTTATCGCCGGGCTTTACACTTTATCGCCTGGCTGTTGCTTTTTCGCCATCGGCTATATGAAATTGTGTAGAAATTCTTGTGCTTTGTAAATCATTAAGTTTGTACGGAATCACCTAATATTTACAAAACTCACATTATATTTTCCTTTACTACATATTTTTTTTTTCATCAATTAAAATGAGAATAATCCATACAGAGTGTATCCAAACATCTCTAAGTCATGAGTTGAAAAACGCTGACTCCGCGAGATTAAATATTAGAGCCTAACACAAAGCGGAGCGGCGGCGTATAGGCGCCCACAAACCTAACAGGGATACTTCACGCATCGCGCAATGCGTGAAGTATCCCTGTTAGGTTTGTAGGCGCCAATGCGCGTTCCGCGCTGGCTGCCCGCCCGCCGCGCCGCGCCGCAGCGTACCACGGCGCTTGAAGCAACTATTTCACACCAGAGGTATTGCACAGTATCGAACGAAATTGAAGGCGCTCCAACCTAATAGGAATGGCAGGCATCCTTCAAAAGTACGGAGCTTTCCTCGCAAAATAAATCAAGATACTTCGGCCCAAAAAGAGAGCGGTAGTCCAAAAACTCACCAAGTCCTAGCATCCGTAATTAGTGACGTTTAGCATACGCTTTATCGAATCGCCAGGCTGTTGCTTAATCGCCATCGGCTATAAAAGGCTATAAGAAATTGCGTTGCCGGCTATAGAAGCTATTGGAAATCTTACAGCCGGCTGTAGGTCTATGGTATTTTGGAACACAGATTCTACTGCCAATTTTTTACCAGGGTATTCCTCTTTTTTTCTTCTTCTTTCTCTTTTTCTTCTCCTCCCTCATCTTCTCCTTCTTTGTCTCCCCTTCTTATTATTCTTCTTTCTCCTCTTCCTCTTCTTATTCTCCTCATTCCTCCTCTTCTCCTTCTTCTTATTCTTAATCCTCTCCTCTTATTCTTCTTCCTCTTCTTCCTCTTCTTCTTCTTCCTCCTCTTCTTCTTTGTCTTCTTTTTCTTCCTCTTCTTCTTCCTCCTTTTCTTTCTTCTTCTTTTTCCTCTTTTTCTTCTTCCTCATCTCCTTCCTCTTCCTTTTTTCTCAATCTTTATCTCCCTCTTCTTCTTATTATTCTTCTTCCTCCTCCTCTTCCTCTTTTCTTCTTCTTTATCTTCCTCTTGCTCTTCTTCATATTCTTCTTCCTCTTTTCCTTTTTCTTCTTCTTCTCCTCCTTCTTCTTCCTCTTCCTCATCCCTCCTTCCTCTTCTACGTCTTTTTTTGTATTCGATGACTGCTAATGAATTGATTTGTCTAATATTCCAGTCACAGCGCAGTGAACGCGTGTTTGACGCCTGTGTGCGCGGTGCACGGGCTGGCAGTGACGACGGTGGAAGGGATAGGGAGCACTCGGACGCGACTTCACCCCGTCCAGGAGCGGATCGCCAAGGCGCACGGTTCTCAGTGCGGCTTTTGCACCCCCGGCATCGTCATGTCCATGTACTCCCTCCTCCGCTCCCACAAGGAACCCACCCTCACCATGGACGACATGGAGGTCGCCTTCCAAGGTAACATCCTTAAATCAACACAAAATGATCAAATATTCCCACATCTACCGTGTATCCGCCCCAGTGGCGTAGACAGGGGGCCAGAGGGGGGGGGGGGGGTGACCAGGGTGTCTGGACTCCCCCCCCCTTAGCCTCGTTATACCTTTCTTTTTACTTTTGGAGGGCAGACATACAATAATATCAGGGACACACACAAAATAATTTAAATTTACCGTACCCCTCAGAGCCTCCGGTGAATGAACCCCCCCCCCCTTAAAGAATTCCTGGCTGCGCCACTGTTCCGCCCTAAATTAGCTTGTTCAGTGATTTATAATTCTTCAGTTTTTGGCAGGTCGAGAGTTCACAAGCATTTTCCCTATAATTTTTTTAGAGGTTTTTCAAACATACATAAGAGCCGTTATCACTGCACTCTCCGGCACTCCGTGCTCTACCTAAATGCCTTAGCCTGTAGTATCCTCTCAAAGCTCTTCAGGAAGTAAACGCTCTCTCATTTCATTAAAAATCCCTTAAATCCCTGTTGCCACTCTTCCACTGGACGTCCCCTCGTCTCCGCCCAGGAGGAATTTCCAACTTACGATAAAACGTAATTGTGGTACATTTAAAAGTACGTGGAGTCTTATGGGTAGAACGCGACTTTACCCGTAATCATTAGCGTAAACGTTTCAATTTTGGCCTCCATGTCTTAGAAACAAGCAGAATTATAATTGCAATTAGCGGACTTGCACAAAATATGGATTTCCTGCTATTTGACTCAAGCACGGCAGTGTTACTTAACATGACCACGTTATGAATTATGGCCGTAGCGTTAAATACGGTGTCGTTTTGATCCCGAATTATTCTCTCCCACTTCCATGCCTTTTTGGCGCTCGCGAAATTTGATTATGTCATTTCGTAAAGCGCGCCATTGCACATTGATATTTTCAAAAAATCCGCCGTTCATTCGATCCGGCAACACCGGCAACACTCACTACGAAATACTACGTTGAGTACTACGTGTACTACGATGATGAATAGTGGCCTCTCATTGGTCCGTTCCGTGGTGAATGGCTCATTCATGGGGGTGGTTTAGTGCTCATTGCGCATGCGCAGCACGCGATTCAAAAATGTAAACAATCATAGCGCAAACGGTGTTTCCCTCGACGCAGATGTTTCCTTTACTACTGATTAAAATCATGTGTAATATCAAGGGTGTTAAGATCGTAATATGTAAGTATCTCATCTACATGTTAGCAAACATCTGAAGAACAGAGTCTGTCGGTATGTTCAACGGTTATTTTTTCAAATGTGAAGTTCAGACCAGCCCAATCATGCAAGTTGTTCATTGATCAAGTGTACCCAGTTAAATTTCTTTTCTCGCAATCATGCCGCAGCTGGCCGTTGTATTTACAAGTGATATAAGTACATACGGGAATAGACATTTCATTTCATGGTCTAATAAATCCAGTGTATTCCGATTAAGTAGGAATAAACGTTTGAAAATGGAATACGATGCGGGAAGATTTCAACCCTGAGCTCACCAGTATGTCTTATTTCAGAATGTATGTAATTCAGAGTACAGTTGAAAAGGACTCATCATAGATATGCAGTGCAGGCAAACCATCTTTATTTCCCATCATTATGACTTTGCTACCTATTAATTCCTAAAATTCAAAGATAACGGGAACTTTATGTGAGGAAGTTTGTCAGTGTTAACAAAACCAACAAATTAATATTTCTTAACTGAATGAAGTTTGATCCACTTAGAAAAAGTCTGAATGCACCTTTCAAGACTGAGAATAATTGGAACTTCGAGCCAATGATATCTCACCAATACTACTCTTAAATTCTTCTTCTCTAAATCTTGTGCCACACCATGCACTAGAATTACGAACTCATATGCCCTGCAGTGTTGAATCAGTAATGCTCAAGTAAGCGCTGAATTCTTATCTCAAGGTATAAAAGAAAAAAAACGCTCTTTCCCACCAATAAAAAATCATGCTACTAATGATTGTATCTAAGATGTGATCAGAGTGCTGTTTTTTTCAGTATGTGCTAATTTCCTAATTGAGTCACCTTTTTTTTTCAGGAAATTTGTGTCGCTGTACCGGGTATCGGCCTATTATTGAAGGCTTCCGATCTTTCATCGAAGAATGGGAACAAGTCAGAGCAAGAAGTGCAACAAATGGCACCACAAATGGATGTGGGATGGGCGAAAATTGCTGCAAAGTCAAGAAGAACGGCCTCCAGAATGGAACTGCCGATTCTGCTGATGAAGAAGATGGCAAATTATTCAATCAGGCTAACTTTGCTCCCTATGACCCAACCCAAGAACCTATCTTCCCCTCTGAACTACAGGTAACACGAATTCAGTTTTAATTAAACAACAAGAACTGAAAGATTTCTCTTTCTTACCCTACCACAGACATCAAATATTTCGACGGTGTAAGTCGGCAATCACATATCTCGTTTGTGGTGTCTGAAAATCTCTGCCTCTATATTTTTTTAAAGGAGAACAAATTTACATCATTCCTTGAAGTTCTTACAGAATTTTCTTCGCACAGAGAGGAAAATTCACAGCAGTTTAAAGAATTGCCGTTGAGTATTGAGAATTTTCTTCACACAGAGAAGAAAAATAACGGCAGTTTTAAAAAATTGCTGTTGAGTCATTTTCTGCTTAATAAATAAAGTATGACAGGAAGTCTGCGATGTTGCAAACCGAGTTATTTGATTGCCGACTCACACCGTCGATTTGTGCTGAGAGACATTAGTACATAAGTAAATGTAGGGAGAAAAGGAATTTTTGAAAATATCTCAGTTAAGTATCCATTTAAACTTGTAGGTATGAGAGGAATAATCTCCCAAACAGTCGATTGCTCTAATAGTGTATTTTTCCAAGTAAATAGAGGTTCGCAGATGAGCACACAAAGTAATTTCTGTAAAATGAACAATTCATACCCAGATATGAATTTCTTATTCTTGTCATTGAAGCCTGAATTAGACAGCAGTGCAATGCTTTGCTTAAGCTTTGATTTCTGTAATTCTAATTTTATCAATAAATCTGTCACAAAATGACAAAGCATGTTTTTTAGCTTTCAGACAAACTAGATTCCGAATTCTTCATGGTTAAAGGACAGGACGTCACATGGTACCGACCGAGCAAGATGGAAGATCTCCTCGCTCTAAAAGCAAAATATAATCATGCCAAAATTGTTGTTGGAAATACAGAAGTTGGTGAGTCGTCACATGCAACCTTTCACTCATCAGGGCTTTTATAAGGGTCAGGTGGTAAACTATTAATTATGAAATCGAGTGAAAAAAATGTTCCTACATGCAGATTTTCATAATGCCTTTACAGGTGCTTAAGTATCGATAACTGAATGAAAAAATTGCCTAATTCTATTGCAACATTTAAAATAATCTGATCATGTTCTGTCTTCTTCAAAGAAAACTAATCAGAATGTTTCCTTGCAATTTTGTGTAATTTTTTTTCAGTAGTTATGAGTGAAGAAATTTCATAGAAAAATTCGATTGCACTTATATCTGTTGGCCAGTTTTCCAATAAACAAATGAAATATGAGCGAAGACTTACGATAGCACAATCTAAGGTACACATTTTTTTACTGTCATTATCGATACTTCTCTGCCTGTGCCACCAGTCTCTGGTTCATCTTTGTCAGTATGAAGATTCAGATTAATCAACTTAAAAAGTTGTTCTTTCCCTCAAACTATTACATTTTATCAATCTTCTTATAGATCGTACCTTGCTAGATAGCATAAAGCAATGGCCCGCTCATCTACCTCTATTGAAATTAGGAAATCCTAAATCAAGCATATTTTAATTATGCTCTGTTGGTTCATTACCACTTTGTTTTGCTTTTTTTTTCTGCAGGAGTTGAAGTCAAATTTAAAAAATGCTCTTACCCTGTCATCATTCACCCAGTCCAAATCAAAGAACTCTCTAGCTTTGAAATTAAAGAATCGGGTGTTCAAGTAGGAGCTTCAATAACACTGAGTGATCTAGAAAATAATTTGAAGGCAGTCATATCTCAGCAGCCAAGTGAGTGTTCAATTTTCTCTTCCTCTGATAGTCCTTTAATAATTTTTTTCCTTCAAAACTAAATAAGAACCCCTTTTGTTGGATTGCTAAATTTTCTCAGGATCAACTCTCCTTATCTTGATTGCATTTCATGAAATGAGTAGCTAAATTTAGAATTTTAAGAAAGTTTCATTCACAATACTTAGCTTTTGGTATCATTTTGCCGTGTCATAGCTTCGTGTCAACACCAAATGAAAATTTTCCAAGTAAATTTAACTTGGACACAAAAAGATAAATTATTAAGCTAAATATTAGTGAAGTTTTTAGAAAACTGCAAGCAATTTTCTGAGTTGGTTCAATTTCATAATTTTTGTCACAACAAGGGTCCTAAGTACCGAATTTAAATTGATGTTACAGACTTACTTCTTGAAGACTTCTTGTTTTTCTCTGAAAACAATTACTTACTTATCAACTGCAAGAAAAACTGTCAAGTTTTCCATGTTACTCTCAAATAATCATACCAAACTAAAAAGAAAAAAGGAAAAAAAAAACAGTTTGCATTCATCTGTATATTTGATATGATAAAAAAAAAATTTGCAAGAAATAGAAGCAACATTTAAATGAATTCTTTGTTGTAAGTGTCTAATATTTATGCTGTGTTACAGGCTATAAGACAAAAATCTTTAAGGCAATCGTCAAAATGTTACACTGGTTTGCGGGAAAGCAGATTAGAAATGTAGCAGCCATAGGAGGGAACATCATGACTGGCAGTCCTATCTCAGATCTGAACCCAATCCTCATGGCAGCCAACTGCCAGCTGGTAGTAGAGAGTAAGACGCGGGGCGTACGCCACGTAACAATGGACGAGAAATTCTTCACAGGCTACCGACGTAATGTCATAGCCCCAGACGAGATCCTCAAGTCAATCATTATCCCATACACCACTCAGCGGCATCACTTCCGCGCCTATAAACAGGCGCGGCGCCGGGATGACGATATATCCATCGTCAACGCTGCCTTCAGTTTGGAGCTTGATGAAAACAACTGCATTGATGGTCTCAGAATTGTGTACGGTGGTGTGGCGCCAGTCACTACTATTGCCAAGAAGACCTCTCAGCAGCTCATTGGCAAGAAGTGGGATAGAGACATGTTGAATGAGGCATATTCACTGCTTATGGATGATCTGCCCCTGGATCCTGGTGCTCCTGGGGGTATGATTCAGTACCGGCGTTCTTTGACGCTCAGCCTCTTCTTCAAGTTCTACTTAACGGTAAGTTTTGACCTGCAAGCTGTCAGTATTTTTATTGAAAGATTCACATTTTTAGTCAAAAAAGAGGCGCTGATCTGGGAAACTAACCAGAAGAAGACAGTTTGATTTGGTAAGAAAATGAGAGACAGAATCCAGTACTTTCTACTGATATCAAAATTGTATGATGATATAGAGAAAAGAGTGGATCTCTTGTGTCTGCCAAGAAAATACCTCAAATAATCAATGCCACTATTTTTACACCGATGAGAAGTGAGTCAGTAGGTACTCAGTGACGATTAATTTTTAGGGTTCAAAACCAGATATCTTAAACACAATATCTCATTAGTATATAAATTTTGTTTTTCTAACTGCAATGCATTTTGGCTATCCAGCCATCATCTGTTGCATCCCAAACGATGGCTGGATAGCCAAAACGCGTTGAAGATAGGAAAAACATTTTTAGACTAATGAGTAATTGTGTTCTAGATTTTTAGTATCACTAATGAGTAGTCTGAGCTTTTGGTGCCTCGCAATAAAGATGCCTCTACACATCATGAAACAAATGTTTTTAATGGTTTTGATATTTTCATTTATCTAACAATAAAACTGAATACACTGAAGTAAAAATGTGCTATTGTTTTTTCGAAAAACTAACAGTAAAATTTTTATTTTTTGTGCATTATTTAAGAAAGTTTGCTATTCAAAATTCACTCTTTCTCCTCTTTTTTGCAACATTTGTATAAATTGTTTTAAATCACAGGTGTGCAATGAGCTAAGCATCCCAATCCCATCAAAAGAGGCAAGTGGAGTCAAGACATTCCATACCCTGACTCCAAAGTCCTCACAATACTTTGAGAAGCGTCCCAATGAGACTCGCAATGACCTGGTTGGAAGGCCCATTGTTCACATGTCTGCTTTTAAGCAGGCAGCGGGTGAAGCTATCTACTGCGATGACATTCCCCGCAACGAGCAAGAACTCTATCTGGCATATGTTATCTCCAGTCGTGCTCATGCCAAGCTGTTGAACGTGGATCCATCACCTGCGTTAGCACTGAAGGGAGTCCATGCATTTTTCTCAGAGAAAGATTTGCCAGGCGATCGCAATAAAGTTGGTGCCATATTTTTCGATGAAGATGTTTTTGCCAGGGATAAGGTAAGAGTCCTTGAAAATATGTCATTGTGTATTTTAATTTTTGTGAAGTTAAATAAAAGAATTAAAAAAGTTTGACTTTCCTCTCAACCCAGTATTAGCCTCGCGTTTTCTGCAATTCGAGAATCACAAGATTCGGTATTTTCTGCACCCCTTGAAACGGTTGTGCTATTAATGGTTAAGAAAATTGGTGAGTTAGTTCGTAATTTTCAACAGTCATAATTTTCATTTTTCACTGTAATTTTCAACCGTCATAATTTTCATTATTCACTGTAATTTTCAACGTAGGGAATCCTCTGTATTCCTTGCAAATAGATGTAAACAGTAACAGATATCATCAGTTAAAATCAAATGCTGAGGATGCAGCATTTTATAATCATACATTAAAGTCCTTGGGCCACTATCATTTTAATTAATTTGTTTTACATTTTCTCTTCAGGTTCTTTGTCAGGGTCAGACGATTGGAGTTGTTGTTGCTGATACCCAGGTTCTAGCGCAAAGAGCAGCTCGTTTAGTTAAAGTGGAATATGAAGACTTGGAGCCAATTATTACAATAGAGGTAAGCTGTTCATTTCAAAATTGATGCTATTTGCTTATTTTTCTATCCAGGTAACTATCTTGTACTGACATGAATGAATTATTGCCTGTAAAATTATTGTCAAAAAATTTAAAGGCAATTACAGGCGAAGAAACATTACAGGCAAATGGGAGGTTCATGGCTGCTTAAAACAAACCTCAGATTGATTAATGAAAAATTATGAAAAGACTTGAAGAATTTATGGCACATAAGATACATTTCTTGGTGTAAGAGACGGTGGATTTTGCAACTTCTTTTATCTTGTAGAAAAAACCTGTAAACTTAAACTTTTTTGCTTTTATGCAAAGAAAGTATTTACCAAATGAGAGAATTATTTTATGAATCTTATTTTTCGGTGCTCTGGTTGATAACTTAAAATACGTAATCTTAACAATATCACAAGACCATTAGTTCCTTTGCACTGAGTACAGTCCATATCTTGATTAAATTTATAATTGAAGGAATAATCCTAGGTCGAAAAAGAATTAATAATAAAAAAAAAAAAAAAAAAATAGACAGCTGTCAACTAAGAATAGACAGCAGGTTGACAGTACTTGACATGATGTTTCTTACTACACTTGAGTCACAATCCTACTAATTCGTCTGCGTCTTATTCACGTGTATTAACAGGATGCCATAGCAGCAAAATCCTTCTTCAAAGATCCGCCACAGGGACTGGTTTACGGAGACCCAGAGTCAGCTTTCGCAACTGCCGACCATGTACTGACAGGTGAAGTGCGGAGCGGAGGACAAGAGCATTTCTACTTGGAAACTCATTGCGCACTGGTAGTTCCCAAACGTGAAGATGATGAGCTGGATGTCCTCACCTCTTCACAACATCCCACTGAAATACAGGTATCTTTGAATCCTAACCTTCACAGATTTGATTTCTTTCAGAAAAGCTCTTATTTTTTTTGGGGAGGGGGGGGGGGTAATTTTTATTATGGAACCATAATTCTGTGTTGAACTCTAATTCAATTACATGCCAAAATTTTTGTTTTGTTCGAACATTTTTTAAGACTATATCAACTTCTAAGAGGGAATTTGATATTTTTTCGACTACATATTCATGCAATACCCTTGCAATTAATTTTAGAAAAAAAACATTCAATTTAATGGCACTCTAGTCAAAGAATTTTAACCACGAATAAATCTTTAAACAATGCACAAATCCTAAGATAAAATTCAGACGCAAGTTTGAAGTTGTGAAACAAAATAATGAGAAGTTTACCTAGCTGCGGAATATCTTTAATTCATAATAAATCCTCGATTTTGATGTGTTCACACTTATTAAGGATTGACAATAAACCAGCTGTTATTTAAGTGTAAAGTTGCTAAGTTTTTGTAGCACTACTATCTACAACTACACAGAAAATGTGTTGTAAGTTCACTTCTCTTCCTAATTTGGGTACAGTTCGACCACCTCACCTAACTTGTGATTAAAGAATATGAATTTGAAGGTTCAATTCTGCCTCTTTATGGAATTTTTATTTTAGTTTTGATTTATTTTGCAGCACTTGATCGCACATGTTTTAGGCGTCCCTGACAATCGTATTGTTTGTCGTGTGAAACGAATGGGAGGAGGATTTGGAGGTAAAGAATCTCGACCTAGTTTGGTGTCCATTCCATGTGCTGTTGCCGCGCATAGGTGAGCCTAACTGTAAGACCCAGTATATGTGTACCAGATTTCTTTCTTTTCAGATGAATGAAAAGAAAAACGAACACTTACCGAAGCTAAGGTTAGACAAATCGTGAGAGCTAGTTTTACCTCCTGGACTAAGCCAGTAAAGTCAAGATTAAACTCATGGAAGGGCAAAACATCAGTCCTGGCGACAATAACTCCGCTGCTCTCAGACACTCTCTTTTATGTAGTGGAGAGAGGCTTACAACTTGTGTCTTTTAATCGAAAGACAATGGTTACATTTCCTCCTGTCCATAAAATCTCTGATACCTCGACTGAATTTTTTAGCAGCAGGCAAGACATCATTTTGGCGTTAGAATTTAGTTTTAGCGCAAAATTCTGATGGCAATTCTTCAAAATTTTGTGCTAATTTTATGATTTAGAATGACCTGCAGCTGTTTAATGACTTCAAATCCAATTAGGTTCATCTGAAATACTGTAGATAAGCTCCAAATCTATCTGATCTGAGATAAATTTCATCCAGATGCATGAATACTCCTATTTCTTCATAAACCAATGATGAAACTTCAGAACCACTTTTCTCGGTTTGCAACAAGGCAGGTTTACATGTTTTTCTAGATGACCACCGTGTAATTGTCATTGCACAAAAATGTTGTTTTTTTCTTTTGTCTTTCCATGAGTGATCTCTAATTATACAAAAATATTTTGTTTTACTCATTAAACACAAAGCTAGGGAAGAAAGTTGGAGACACGTTAATCGTGGCATAAGTTTATTTTTAATTTGTGTGCTATTATTTCATTTTCGAAGTACATATCATTTATCTTAATTGGGCAATCAGTTTGAGACTTCATTTCTTCTCTAAAATGTTTCCTTTCAAGTTCACCTTCAAACTGCTATCAAGGAGTTTTTATTTGCAGATTGCAGCGACCTGTTAGATGTATGATGGACAGAGATGAAGACATTGTGATGACAGGACAAAGACATCCTTTTCTATCGAGGTATAAAATAGGGTTTACAAAAGAAGGCAAAATAGTAGCTGTCGATATCACTCTCTATTGTAATGCCGGCATGTCTTTTGATCTCTCTACGGCTGTAAGTTGCACATTACCGTCCGTTTATTTTTTTTCAATCGTTGAACAATCTGAAGATTGAAGCTGTAGGCGTCACTTAAACAAGCTCTTCACAGAAAATCAGCAATGAAAAATTGGTTTTTTCTTTAGTCAGAAAAATCAGCGACTGAAAATTCAAAATGAATTCTCGCAATGTTGGCTCATGTTGGTAGTTTCGAAAATATTGATCATAAAGTTCATTGTCAGAACAAGTTAGTATTGTTTTAGTCTCTTGATTTTGAGACTTACTAAAACTGAGTAGGCAATATTAATTTCAGCATGAAATGATTGGTTATCTCCTTTATGAACAAATGGTTCTCATGATAATCAGTGGAATTGCATTAAAAGCCGTTTAAGTCTCTGAAGTTTAATGGTTCAGTCAAAAAACTAAGCAACATTCTGTAATGGCATTTGATAAGTAAACCCTTCATAAGTTAGGAGAACTTTACAACAACTTTCAAAGCATTATGTTGCTCTAATTTAAAAAAAAAATGAGAGAAAATTGTGGGAATGGTATGGTAGTAAAGTTGATTTCAGTTTAATCCATCCAATTGCGTGTTTGTGTCAAGGGAAACTTGAGACATTTTGATGATTCTCAAAAACTACAATTGCTATTCTCAGAACACATGGTAATCAATATTATCAATTAACTTAATTCAGATGTGCTTAGTTTTTCCAGTCACAGAGAACAATCACTGTAAACTTTCCTTCCTTCCTTCAAAATTTACAACTTCTCTACTAGACTGATTATTCATCATTTCATAAAAGCCAGCTATTTCTTTTATCTTAATTCAGCTTTAATTTGTAACTTTCGCTTTTTCTTTAATCAAAACTTAAAGTCTCATTCATTTATTGACCTTTGTTTGTTTACAATTATCTAGGTAATGAACAGAGCAATGATGCACTATGAGAATTGCTACAAAGTGCCCAATGTATCAATAAAAGGGTATCTTTGTAGGACAAACATTCCTTCAAATACAGCATTCAGAGGCTTTGGAGGACCCCAAGGCATGTTTGTCGGTGAAAACATGATTAGGCACATGGCAGAATTTCTCAAAAAAGATTTCAACGAGGTGAGATGTTCACTTTAGTAGGTATCATAATTTTGTCCTTATTTTCATTTTTTGTGATCCAGACTTCTCTTCCTCTCTTTGAGATTGCTTCCTTTATTTCTCTGAAGTATCAGGTGCTGCAGTTTGCAGGTTTCCGCCGTTTTGCAGTTGAAGTCCTATCCATTCCATTTTTTTTGCAAATATCTCATCCCATTTAGTTTCGTTTTGTTCGATTATGTTCCATTCTGTAACATTTTACATTCTCGTCAAAAAAAGTTTTATGACGAAATCATTAACTTTGATCGATTGAAGAGGTTCTTACTTTTCAACCAACTAACAGCCCTGAAGGTCACATGACTAACAATGTCAAAAATTTGAAATATTAGATTTAAATAATTATTAGGTTTGTATTACACTGACTGTTGAATTTTTTTGCTTGGTAACCTCTAGTAGGAGATGGAGCTTCATTGATCATGCTGTCTCTTTAATACTTAATTTTAAAATTATTTTCAATGAATCATTTCAGATTGCCCTACTGAATTTTTACAAAGAAAACGATTTAACTCATTTCAAGCAAGTACTGAAACGAAACACCCTGCAGCGCTGCTGGGATGAAGTAGTTGAAACGTCCGACTACAAAAATCGTAGAATCGCTGTTGAAGAATTCAATAAGTAAGCACTCTCATCCCTTTCTCTCGGCTTTCAATGATTTTATAAAGTTATAAAGTTTTTTACATGAGATCCAACCAGAGATAAGGTAGCCTCCTTTTGGTTTTTTTTTTTACCATTTAATCATTTTTCAGCGCTTTCAAAGCGCTACTGTAGAGGCCCACCAAGCGCCGATTGGCTGCTCAGTGGGCCTGTACGGAGCTCTAATTTTAGAAAAGTGAATTTTTTGGAAGTATCGGTAATTTCTAAACTCAGCGACCCTCAAGCATCCCTAAAAACTCATTTTGTGCGGTTTGAACATTCAATCTGATTTAAAAAAACCCCAATTTGGAGGTCTGAAAATTTGGGAAAAAAGCGCTCAAGTATAAGTAATCAATAGATAAAGTTTGAAGAAATTCCAGAGGGGGGGGGGGGCGAAAAAAGCCTTTTTTGCATCGAGCTCTTTATATTTCCATCATGGTCAACTTCTATACTTGGACAGAAAGTATTACAGAACTACTGTAACAGTATCACAAAACAGTATTACTGTAGTTTACAGAAGTATTTGCCATTCTGTCGTAAAAAATAGGAATAAAGTGGAAAGTCTACTTTCATTTTTTCTTGAGCCGTTGATGAATAATAATGAACCTTTTTAAAAATTCAAATATTAAATTAGTTGTATGATTTCAGACAAAATCGGTGGCATAAGCGCGGAATCACTCTAACGCCTACCGCTTTTGGAATAGCCTTTGAAACTCTGTTTCTGAACCAATCAGGAGCCTTTGTTTTAGTTTACGCAGATGGATCAGTCCTTATTTCACATGGAGGCACTGAGATGGGACAAGGTCTTCATACCAAAATGATACAGGTAAATTTTTCTCTGGAATTTTGACAAAATGAAATAACTAATTGCGGGATCCTCAACTGAGGCATGACTCATTGGTGCAGAAGCATACAGGTGCAGAAGGATACAGGTCAAAACATAACTTTAAGGGTTGACAATTATACTTGCAATTTTTGAAAAATTTAAAGACATTCCATAACAATTTCAATTATTTTTACTTAGTTCCCTCTTTTGTGAATTTCAACCTCTTCCATTAACAAAGGAGGTACAAGTAAAAAATAACACATTTTTTTTTACTCATAGCCGCCTATTTATGTCCTTGCAGATAAAATTTTAAATCAGGATGAATTTTGTCGGAATAACACTCTATTCTTTTAAACTCAACCCATTATCCTCTTCACTTTGGAAGTTCCATCAGGTTTGAGTTATCATGAGCATACAACCTCAGGTCACAATTTGAAGGGTGCTAAGGCCACTTTGCCTCAATTTTAAGCTTGTAACCAAAATTTCCATCTCAACCTGCTCTAAATTCCCTTACTGCCAACATATTTATTTTTGACTTCATCAATGCAATATACCATTAAGGAAAAGTTCGATCACAAAAAGTCCAACATTGTTATAAATGTCAAAATATATACCCTTTTTTTTAATTGGATCGTATAGTCTGCCTAAGCAACAATCTATGAAAACAACCTTAACTTTATTCTAGCAATAATACATTATTTCATTTTTTCAGGCAGTTGTCTATAAAGCTATCGATGCAAAGCATTGTGAATTTTCACTAATGAAGATACTTTTGTTTTCAAGGTTGCAAGCAGATGTTTGGATATTCCTGTATCTCTCATTCACATTTCAGAAACATCTACAGACAAAGTGCCCAACACATCCGCAACTGCAGCTAGCTGTGGCTCCGATTTGAATGGGATGGCTATAATAGTATGTAATGAATTATCAACTTCATCAGATTATCCTCAAAGCGGAGATCATATTTCCTGACTCTAGTAGTTCAATACAAGAGCGGCCCGAAATTACGATTCTGAATTTTTATACTGTAATGCTGTTAATGCTAATTGAGGGACCTGGAGGACAAGGAAGAAAAGTGCAGCTTTTGCTATTTTGAGAAATATGTGTTGAAAGTTTCGAAATTACATGGATTCTTATGGTGAAGAGAAAGTTCAAACTGACTTTTGATGCTTAAAAATTGGAATTTGTGAGCAAATTTTTCGCAAAATATGCATTAAGACTAGTCTTATTTGAAATCATCAATACCTCTATTTTTTCCAAAATTGCACTTCTGCTCCTTGTTCTCAAAGCTCCTCAATTGACTTTTGATAGGTGTCATCAATCTGTTTTAGCAGTTTTTTCTTTATTTTTTTTTCTCTTGCTCTCAGCCTCTCTGCGACTGCTGGAAATATTTTTAACTTTAAAATGCAAAAAGTTCAAATTCCGAATTAATGACTCAAAACATCACACGTGTACATCAAGTTGAGACAATTAGCAAAATTTTACAGGATTTTCTGAGCTTTGGAATGGCTTTTGCTCGTCCAATCTTCTCTTGCTTTATTAGAGATTTAAGTAGTGATGTGAGGTTTCCAAACTTTTAATTGTTTATTCACCATTTTATATTTTTCCTTCGAAAATTTTGATGTATCAAAACAACCTCTAAATATATTTTTTTTATTATATTATTACTCACCTCCCTAGCTACCTTAAATTTTGAATTTTTGCCTTGTTTAACAGGATGCATGCAATCAGATCATGGAACGTTTGAAACCGTATAAAAAAGCAAAACCTGATGCTGACTGGAAAACTTGGGTTCATGATGCATTCTTTGATAGAGTTAGCCTTGCCGCCAGTGGATTTTACAAGTAAGTGATGACATTCCCCCTAAACCCATACCTTCGTTTTTTCTATTTAGTCGATAGTGAAAAAAGCATATACCAACGAAACTTCCAAATCACAAGAAAATTTTAGTATGGCGGTACTTCCAGGGTTTTGTTTCAAACAACTGTAAAATGATACTTGATGTGCTGCAGAACAAATAATATCGATCGAGGCTATTTTCATAAAAATACCTTAAAATTTTGAATTTTTGAATTCTGTACCAAAATGTTGAGTTAAATACTGCTCTTCCTTCACACACAGTGAGATGGACACGTATTTGGTCACAAATTAAGTATCAAACTCTCAAATGATTCTGAGGAGTCTTAATAGATTTTAGTTCTTTTCTAAGACAAATTTAGGGGTCCAAGTTTTTCATTCTGTTCTTTTTTTTAAAATTTTATGTTACTGAGCCCTATTTGATTACCTGATTCTATTTTCTGTTGACTCCCAAAAGTTCATGTAGAATCTCCAGTGCAAGGATTTAGGATCAATCCTTTTCAAATTAGGCTCATATGGGTTAATTCAAACAACACCTATAAATCCAAATTAAACGCAAAACAATACTGTACAGGGAGTCCAAAATAGACTTCGTTTATTTTGAGTCAAAAATAGACCCTGTTTAGAATATTCCCTATTTCGTTTCTCTTGATTTCTGAATTTGTCAGGAGATTCCGCTTCAGTGCTTTTTTCCATCCCTTCCTTTTCATTTTACACTTTCGCTTTTCTAGGACTCCAGACATTGGTCATGGAACCGAAAACTACTTTAACTACTTTGTATACGGTGTTGCGTGTGCCGAAGTTGAAATCGACTGCCTCACAGGGGATCACCAGGTACGCAAGGAAGTAGATTCTTCTTTAATTTTTGCTATTGCACTATAATATCATCTTCTTCATTCGGGCAATCATTGTGAAAAATCTTAGCACAACAACAAATTTGTATTGAAAAATAATAATCATGAATAATATCACCAAGACTCGAATTTGTATATTTTTACAAAACTTATAAAAGTTGGAGGATTTTTTTTTTTTTTTCGACTTAATCACAAGAAATCAAAAAAAGCATGAGAATTTCCCTCCTAAGTTCGAAGACACTATGGCGAAGAAGAATAAATCAATTTTAAGGCCAATACATAACTCTTGAATTGTTTTTCTAAAGGTGTTGAGGACGGACATTGTAATGGACTTGGGTGAGAGCTTAAATCCAGCCATTGACATCGGTCAGGTGGAAGGAGGCTTCATGCAAGGCTACGGTTTGTTTGTGATGGAAGAGCTTATGACATCCCCCTCAGGATTCCTCTACACTCGAGGACCTGGAGCTTACAAAATACCTGGGTTTGCCGACATCCCAGCAGAGTTCAATGTATCTCTGCTCAAAGGAGCACCCAACCCTCGCGCTGTCTACTCATCCAAGGTATATTTCTTCTGACTTTCTTCTTGTCTGCTATGAAAATATATTCCTTCAGTGGGCAGCAACCCGCAACTCTCATAAACATGATATTAAAATTAGTTGAATCAGCCTCTCAGTGAGTTTTCAGAGGAACCCAAAGCTACCCAAAAACTCAGAGATTTTCAGGATTGCCACAGAATTTAGAAAACGAAATTCCCTGACATTTCTCCGACACATTTTGATGAAATTTCCTGACAATTTGACGTATTTCTATCAAACAGAACTAAGCGCCATTGGGGGAGGAAGGGAGAGGGGGGCTTGGATTGGCTGATGTTGCAGAATGCGATGCTAGTTTTGTCCTATACTCGCAATGCTTTTCCATGGCGTTTAGTTCTGTTTGATAGAATGCACTATCCGGGATTCGAAAATCCTCAAAAAGAACTCAATTTGGCGCTTAGTTCCGTTTAACAGAAATACGTCCAATTGAAGATGTGATAGATGGTTAAGAAGGCATAATTGAAAATAGTTTTCAGGCAAAATTTGTTGTGCGAAACCTCACACCCATTTTCGAAAGTAAATGAAGATGATTTAACAAATTTTCCCTGACATTTCCCGGTTTTCCCTGAATGTGGCAACCCTGTTAAAATGTGACCGTCCACTGGATAAGAGACTTTAAAGTCAAAAGATATCAGCACCTCCACTTGTAGGATTATTTTTTGAGCCTTTGGATGCAAAAACTGCCTGAAACTTTGATTTAAATTTTATTTTTGGAGCATTTTCTGAGAATCTGTGGTTAATCCACTTTCATCCGTATCAAGCACTTGGCATAGACCATAACCTTTTTTCCTATCAAAGCTTAAAATTTTATAGGAAATGCCACAGCTGAAAGATGGTGCCAATTATTTTTAGTTTTGTAATTCTACTTAACTACCAATGAAATTTTCTAACCAAGGCTGGCAAATGGGGAAACCAGGTATCGATTCTTGCCAGCTGGCGAAAAACAGTGCCAATCAATTCATGAATGAACAGTGGTTTACCATATTGTATAGATGCAGGCTTTTTTTCAGGAAGAAGGCAAATTGTTTTTCCCCTTTTCGTTGTGAAAGCCATTGGTAATAAGACAAGCTCATCAATTGGACGTATTTCTACCAAACGGAATTATGTGCATTAAGATATGAGCCCCGAGACCCATGAGGATGTATGCATAACAGGGCTAACGGCATAATGCACATAGTTCCGTTTGACAGAAATACGTCCAAGTGATGTGTTAAACGCCCTTTGACGGGTTCGCTTGTAGTCATAAATTTTAAAGAATTTCTCTGAAACTCTTGCTACATTCAATACAAATCGAATCTTTTCTGTAGGCTGTTGGAGAACCACCTCTGTTTTTGGCATCGTCTGTATTTTTCGCCATCAAGGAGGCGATAAAAGCTGCAAGGAAAGACGCAGGGAATGAAGAGTACTTCAAGTTGGATGCACCTGCAACCTCTGCCCGCATTCGAATGGCGTGCCTGGATGAAATCACAGCCAAAGTAAGTTTATCTCTATTCCTTCATTTTTAATTTATCTAATTTGCATCTGAACGTTGCCTTATAATTGCATGGTAAAACTATTTTTTATACATTGAATTCCTATTATGCTTCAGTGTTTCCTCTACTTTAAAATAAATTTCTGCTAAATTTTTAATCATGACTGTCCATGGATGAAAAACCTCCGCACAGAAAATCTAGTCTATGGTACCATTCCAAAGAGGAATTTCAAGAAAAAATTTTGGCCTGAAAAACACCCATGAATTTCAAACTATAGCAGAGCAATAATGGTTTGAGTTTTGTAGTTCAAATAAATATTTAGTTTTTAAGAGAAAGCCATCCAAGTTTTGACATTCAGCTGAACTTTCCAAAGGTTTAAAAATAAGCATTTCCTCATAAAAAGTTTGCTCGGAAATTTCTGAAGCTGAATTATTAACCCAACTTCCGAAAACTGCTGTCCTGGAAAAAAAAATCCATGGAATGAAGTCCCATCATCTTGTGGAAAGAAAGATTTAATAGGCTGTGACAAACTTAGCCAGACATTAAAGAGTGACACCTTGGGTANGCCCCATAAGCTCAACTTAAATTTCAGAATTTTTCTGCAGGTCGATTTTGCATCATAATGAAGATGGGTGCTTTTTTGTACAAGAAAAATGCGAATATCTCCTAAATCGTTTGTTTTAGAGTAAAAAGCATCAAATTTTCAAGCACTCCTATATATCTAGATGTGCCTAGGCACCCCCTACGTCCATGGGATCTGTGGCTCTGTAAGCTTAATTTGAATTTTCAAAAGTTTTGTCCTGGTTGATTTTTCATTATGATGAAAATTAATGTCTCTTCATACTGGGAGGATGGAATATCTCCTAAATCGTTTAATGCAGAGTAAAAGAGACTAAATTTGTGGCCCTCCTTAACATATGTTTTTACTTTGTTTCCCACAAGCCCAGGGGGGCTATTCTGTTGTAATCATTATGGGAAGGAAAATAATGGCCTTCTACTTCAAAAAAAGTTACATTAAGACATACTTCAACAACAACACTCAAGGCTTTATATCAATCAAATTTGATTCCATAGATTTTGAGGCAAATAAAATTGATTGGATGCCAACAACATGTGAGATAAAATTATGAAGATAAAATAAAGTAAAATTTGAAGAAATGACATATGATGGCAACCAATATATTGGTACTGCACATTAGCATCGTGACTGTCTCTATCAATGATCTCTTTTGCGCTAATTTTCGGGTTCTTCCAGGGTTTTTATTTGTCATTACAAATTAGTACCTTAACACAGTTAGGTAACAGAAACGATAGAGCCTTTTAAAAAGCCAGTAAAATAAAAATAAATTGGATTCAAGTGTAGAATAAGTTTCATTTACAATGATTTTTCTTCCATTTACTGATTCATTTTGGCGGACTTTGGTTGTCCTTTTCAATAATTCAGTTCCTCAAGTGAACTTACAGTGATGAATGGAGAGGGTAGGAAGAGGGTTCGTAAGTCTTACATAAAAAAGGTACAAATTCTTAGGTCTCTCTTAAAAGTTTTCTATAGATTAATTAATGTGCTGTAAACTGGGAATCTGTATGACAGGAATGAACCCTTGAGCTTGTGTCTCCCACCAAAAAATGTAACATTTCTTGAAAAATCTCACCGGAAAAAATTTTACAGCTTCAGAATACAATTCTCCAAAAAGCTTTAACTAATTGAACTAAGGATGGGAATTGATGTAATCATGTTAAGGCCGCAATTTTTAACAGCGGCAAAATTATGAATGAAACAATGCTACGATGAATCATCTTTGATGCCAAGTTCTTTCTTCCTTTGTTCTATGTCCAGTTTTTTCACAGACTGTGTCTCCTTTCTCTTTTGCTCAATTTCTAGCAACTCAACTTTTTGTTTGTAGTAACCATATCGACACACGGTCCTGAAAAAAATTGAAAATAAAGGCTTACAAGTTATCTGACAGATGAGGATAGATTTGTCAGTCAAGCTCATAATTTGGAGCTTCCCAGGTATGTATTGGCTGTTGTTAAAACCTAGCCATTCCCTTCTCTGATAAGCCCTGAGCCTCATCAGAAAAATCTATACTCTATGCTATTTCTCTGCCGTTAGGGTGTACCTTAATATCCATGTTTGTCCTGTATTCCATTAAACTTCATACTTTACAGGACTCAAATGGAAACGTAGGAACATTCTTACACCAGAATAGTAACTTTTTGAGCTCATTAGATAATGAGCATGTTCAAATTTAACACTGGCCATTTCTTATGACTATATATTCCATAATAGAGGCAAGCAAATGAAATTTTTCATGCAAATTATGGCTTGACATACTAAACAATTTAAGTTAAGCGGGGAAAATATGTTTAAATAATTTTGTTCATTCTCAAAAAGATTCGAGCACCAATTCATATTTTGTCTTCCTCTTCTGTTCAAATTCCAATAAAATTTCTGAGACAACCACAATTTGATTTCAAATTACAATCTTCCCACGCAATCATTTTCCTGACCTCTCCTAGTTTAAAACGGGTTAATTAAAACAGTTTTCACCGCTATTCTTGAATTCTCATTTCTGGCGTTTACCTAAGTCTTTTTGAGAATGACCAATTCAATTGCCAATTCATCCAATGCAAGAGCTATAACGCAGAGAAAATTTTGCGGCTTTTTCGGAGAATCTCTTTAACTATTTGGAGTATAAGATTTTTAAAACCTCTGAAGACTTAACCCATTCGCCTCATTTGACAAGTATACTTGTCAGCGCGCGTGCGGGACACGTCTCAGTTGACGAATTAATTCACAGCATCTATCAACATTGCTATGCAATTTTTTTGACAGTGTTTTTTCACTTTTCCTATAGATAGCATCATAAGCGTTGCAACGCCTGCGAATGGTGCGAATTAACTTGTCAGCTGAGATAATGTCCTAGGCGCTCGCTGACGAGTAAACTCGTCATATGAGGCGAATGGGTAATGCTATTTTCTCGATCAAAAAAATTTCAAATTAGCAGGCTTTGCATTAACTGTACATCCCACAGTTTTACAAGCCGTGAGGTGTCGCAAGCACAGTTGAAAGTCTTCAGAAAACACAGGAAATAATTTCTTACCAGTAGCACATTGTTGACACACCAAAAGTTGCCATTGCTGCATTGCAAGAATGAGCTGGTCGACTAGAATACAAAAAGTAGGCTACTCCACCAGCTATGGCAGAAAACACCCCTGTTAGGAGACTTGATCGGAAACATGGAAATTCAGTGAGGTTGCGACCCAAAAAGAAAATATCCTGCAAAAAATGAGGGTATAAAATCTTCAAAATTGAAAAAAACTAAATCTTTAAACTAAATGAAAGATTCATATAAGTATTCCCAACTTGCCTAAATGAATGCAAACCACCGAGACATAAATGTAAACTAAACTCTTCATCAGGAGAATGGGATGTAAAGTATGAAGTATACAACCGAAGAGAAGTCAGGATTTTACGACCAAGAAAAACATGATGTTGAGAGCATATTCAAACAATGTCAGCTCGTGTGACATTACACTTGTATATTCCAAAAACGCAGTAGGGATGTTGATACTTAACCGATACTTCCAAAGTATCGATACTTTTGATCGATGCACATCAATACTTAACGATATCGATATCATGTGATATCGATCCTCAGACCCCCATATCGATGATATCGATACTTAATCTAATTTGGTCATGAAGAAGGCCTCTTTTATTTTAACAACTTCACTCTCTTCTATTTCACCTTCACTATACACTGTGACAAACGACGGAGTAATCAGGTTTCTCAAGATGATTACTTTCGTTAAAAATGTTAAAAGCTCGGTTCGATAACAGTAGTAAAGTAATTAATAATAGTTGACTAAGCACGCGAATAAGGGCGGTTTCGAGAGAGGCGTAAGGCTGACGGAATTTAACATCCGACAGACATGCGCACACTCCGGATTACAGCATAATTTAGAAATAGTATCGGTGGTATCGACACCTCAAGAGTATCGATACTTCATCTCGATACCGGTATCGATACTTCCCTGAGTATCGACATCCCTAAAATGCAGGCAAAATTTGGGCAAATCAGAAATGTGATAAATTAGGAGAGAAATATCGTTAAAAACTTACATGTTCGGGGCCTCTGGAGATTGTAGCAGGATCTTTTGGTGCCATTTTGTAAAGCTCGTTACAATTAAGAGCAATGCGATAGGTGTCAGTTCTGTGTGAAGTGCAGAACCCTAGTTTAGAGCCTAAGAATATTTCCTGTGGTAGAGTTCAGAGAAAACGGTGCAAAATAAATTTATATGAGTACATAGAGGTAACTATGAAAGCTGAATCAGCTTGGCTGAAACTTTCACCTCTAAACAGATTAAAATTCTGGTAATTTTGACAGAATAAGTTCCCCGGTAAAACAGGGTGAGACATGTAGGATGAGCACTAGGAAATATTATAACAAATTTATGATAGATTAGATTCCCTCATTCTAAAAGATAGGAACTTCAAACGTATGATAAAGAACTTAACCTCACTGTCTTCACAACACAGATTGTACGATGTTTGATGGACTTTTGGTGTGATATATGTGTGATGGCAGTTGACTCACAACACGATCAGAAATACCGCCAATTTTTAAACTGATGCAACAAGTATAAACTATGAAATTGATACTATCAGCAATCCTAGCCATGGTGAACCATTCTATTTTAAACGAAGTAAAAAATATCGGAAATTCTGATTATGCCTGCTTAAATTGGAGAATCCCAAATTTCTAAAGCTAGGAGACGCTTTTTTTTTTTATTCATTAGTGCGCTGGATGGATACAAAAAATGGAATAATTGGGATTGACAGGTTGTTGGCTGATAAATGGTCAGGGCTAAGCCAAACAGTCTCATCTTTCATCTCATCTCTCATCTCCTACTCTGATTTTTGGAGGGAAACTGACGAAATCTTTTGCTTGAAATTTTGTGGAAATAACTTTCATGTTGGTTGGTTTCCTTGCATGAAATTAAAACAGGAAATGACATTGCGAGTAATAACTGCTCAACCTAACTCTGCAAGGAGAGTAGTGACAACAGCGTAGAGTCTAATCCTGCCATGTTCTGTGAAATCAGTTTCATCGTTTTTTGCCCAACAATTTTTCAATTTTAAGGAGCTGCTTAAAATATGCGATAAACTTTGCAATGAATAATTTATATTCGTCGCATGCTCACATGAGAGAATTGAAAAATGTGATGGAGGTTCATTTTCTTTAGCATGTTCATTTCTATTAATTACCTACATGCTTCATAAACTTGTTAAGAGAAAACAGAGGACGGTGGCCAGAAATATGGAAACCATTTGGAGCAAAATTTTATGACATCACTGCATATTACGCAATGAAATTTCCAATTTTTGAAACAAGTTTCATGGTGTAGAAAAATGAGCTCAAATTTCAGCTGCAAGGCCCAACTGAAGAATCAAGCTACAAGAAAACGTATTGAAGCTTGGTAGGGACAAAGGTTTCAATGATTTTTTTGTTCTCAATTGTAGCTCTATGTGCTACCTTGATGTCAATGAATACAGACGACTTGCCACCACCTTGTGCGCTTTCAAAATTAATTCCTGGACTTCAAGTTGAAAAGAGGGGTATCATTAGTTGATCAGATCACCCTGACTGACTTATCTTGGTTGTACCAAAATCAAAATAAGTTGTCAGTATTTCTCACTCATCTGATATTAAATCAGGTGTCAGATAAATGGTTTTACAAATAAAATAAATGAAGCCTCTCTTTTTCCCGCTCACTTGACCAGAATCAGCTTAACTACAGGAGACGTTGCCTACTTTCTTCTTGTGCTTCATTTTTTCCTTATAAAACTATGTAACATTTTATCTTGGAACTTTTGTAGGTAGATAAAAATCGAAGAAAAAGTCACCAAAAGTTTCAAAGCGTTACCTAATTTAGTTTTCTGTTGACAAGATAAAACCCAAGGATTAGGGAAGATGAAATGCAGTTAGACTGATTCTGGTTAAAACTATCCAATATTTATAAACTATCTCCAAGAAAATTTTGAAAATCAACCTGACAACTTTCCCTCACTGTAATTGATAACTGGGCACTAGGCAGAGGCGGACGAGTAAACGGAAACATAGAGAAAAATCCTGATGGGCCAGTCAATCTTCTATCTTGAAAAGTCCAAAAAGGCAACTAAAATGGGCCTTATTTTCAAAGATTGATAGGCCGATATTCCTTGTTACCTTTCCGATCTCAGTCCACCCCTGGAGCCAAAAAGGAGGAGAAGGGATGAGACAAACATATAAAACAATATTTAATAATATAAAAACAAATATATATATTATCATACAATAAAACAATAAATACATACGAAAAATCTGGCCATGAACACTGCACTATTAATATTGACAGTAAAAACTTTATAACAGGCGATCGTAATATTACAGGAATAAACCAATGAAATGGGTCAGCAACAAATAAATAGGAAATATTTTACAACAGACAGGGATAATTTTGTAGACACTAATTCAACAGATAAATAGTACGAGCTGTACATAATTTTTTCATTATGGTTTCCTTATTCGCTTTTTTGTCCTACTTTGTTACATAATGGATTTTAACAAACACTTACCTCTAATATTTTACATCATTACACTATGACTAGAATTCTTCTTTCAACATGTAACTAAGACATAGTAAGCAGGTATGCCCAAAAAAAAGAAAAAAAAATTGAAACGACAAGATTTCAAAGATTAAAGTCCCGATTTTAAGGAATCAAACGTTCAGAAAATTGGATCAAAAGCATTCATATAATTTAAGAAAACCTGCACTGCACGTTAAAATGGAGGTTATTTGAAAGCTGATGTTTGAAAAAAAAAATTTTTTTGATGTTTTAACACTCAGGTTTCACCACAGATTGAGCATTGCTGATTGCAGGGATAAAACTGAGGCAATTTTCTATCATGATTCTTACAGATAAAAGCAATAAAATGAAAAATGCGATAACCCATCACAAGATAATCCTAGTTCTTGAGTAAGATTTGCTAGTAATCTTGCATAGATTACTAGGTTTAAGATGACCCAATTTAGTAAACAAGGGAGGTGTGGATAATAAATCTGGCAATTCTTCAATTCCCGATCTTGGAGGTAAATTGTAAAAAGTAAAAATTCAAACAGGTTCACTGATGCCCAAAAGGAAATATTGTGTTGCTTTTGGGCTCCTAGTAACAACTAACAAAGCGTAATTTCAAAGCAACTGCAAAGATGGTGTTTACACAGATAAGTACGCTCTAGGAGGGTAATGAAGAAATTTCCAGCAATTGTAACAATTCATTACATTTTAAAATCTAGCTTTAAATGCAGATTACAAAAGCTCTTTTATCAGCTGCATCTTTTGGTTACTTTTGGGAGAACAAATGATCTATAGACTTTGGCCAAGCCAGAATTGGACAAATAAGATTAAATTGAAATGAGACACTACTGAAACATGTTTCAGTTTCAGAAACTTCATTTTGAGTCAATTGAACTCATAGCATGTAGCCAATTTGAAAACTGCTGGGATCTCGATACAAGGGATAAATCCTCTAGTTTCAATGGAGAAATTCAACGAAATGGTTGCAACAAAAAATTTTTGAAATGGTTCGACTTGCATACAATCATTCAATCTGAAAAGAGTCAGGTTTCATTACCTACAAGCGCTCTTTAGTTTAGGGTTAAAATTTTTATAAAATTGAGCAACAACCAGGACTCACCCTTTTCACATTAGAATACAAAATGAGTAAATAAATACTCGATACCCTTGTAGGAGCAACAAGGTGAAAGCAATCCTATGGTCTTGACGCCAAACAAGTTGGCTGGCTTCTAGATCAAGACGGAATGTATACTGTCTTGACTCTTCCATCAGCTTTGGTGCCAAAATGGAACAGCAAACCTCTTGTCACTCCTCTGCTATTACCGACTACTTTAACATAACTTTATTGAATTAACATCATGACATGATAAAAACGGAGAGTAGGTGGGGATAATATATTGATAGTTCTCCTCTGCTATATGTTTGCGTGACCTGCCGAACAGTGCTGAGAAAGACAGAACCTTGGAATTATTCTTCCACTTAAAATTCCTTTTACTTGTTAAAATGTGTGCTCAATACTGCACATAGATTTAAAATCAAACTCACAAAATAAGAATTTAGAAAGGCAACTTCAGTAATTTTTTTGTGATTGGTGTAGAAATCCAAGGGCATTGCGAATAAACTCGACATATTTCGTCCAGGCACGAGGTGAACCTACTGCAAGGTTTTGGTTGTGTACTTGATAGAATGTGTTGGAATCAATTTGAGGTTTGACTCATTGAAAAACTAGAATTCACAAAAAATTACAAAAACCGGGTTGAATAACAGAAGCAATTACCCTGGCACATAATAATCTTAAGCTCATAATGGTTGCAGTGCTACTCATTGCTACTATGGAGCTGAAGAAGCCCTGAGGCTAAAATTTCTCAATAGCAGGACGGAGATTTTTGCATGTGAGAACGCAGAATTGGTAACTGCAGCTGACAATAATTTAGAAAAATCACAAGTTGTTTTAGCAATAAGGCAACAAAACAGCATGAAAATACGGATTGACTGAAGGTCATGCAATAATGACAAAATCTATGGCATGGTAAAATGCAATTCCGAGCAAAACCATTTTGCTGGGATTGTGTAATGTATGAGAGTTGTTGTGTAGGCTGCACACTGAACAGAACTTCTAAATCAAGTAATTTTGATTCACGTAATGTAATATGTGATGGATAACTGGATTCCAATCTCCTACGTACCTGAGTAACAGCTTGAGAAAATATTACGGTGATACTGGAAAATCTCAAAGCTTGACTGTGGCATCGATGATTTTCACTCATATTTATCTCTCTCATTTTGCAGGGTACATGCCAGTTCTAGTTTTATGTTTCAAAGATAGACTGTTTGAACATTACCATTTAAGAATGAAAAAATTGATTGAAAGTTGCAAATGGAATGACACTCTGAGAACAACCATTAAGAAACCAATGTAAGAAACAAGTTTTCGGTGAAAGCTTTTACATTTTTCTGAAAGCTTTCCTAAAAAATACCAGTTTGATCTCTCACGGAAAAAACTGTTAAGTGTCACAGCTCAAACATGGAAAGTAATATATCTATGGTAAGATTTAGGTTTAAAAATTACAATATCTTTAACACTTGATTTGCTGCTATCAATAGCCTTAGAGAGCATCTAGGGAGTTAAATGAAACTTGAATAGGACATTTTGAAAAGATCTGAGTCTTTACAAGACGAAATTGACAAAAATTAAATTTGTTACATGGAAAAGTTTCTTGGCGGACATGACATCATTCAGGACGCCATAAAAATGAATGAAAATTGGATATTCTTAGATTGAAAACCTACAGTTTTCATTTATTTTAATTTTAGCAATTTTTACTATGTATTTAAATTGAGAAAAGTCCCCTCTATTCAGCTGTACCAGGCCACATTATAGACTCACATCTCAAAAATTCAGAAAAGTACAAAATTTACAAAAAAATAAGTAACACACATTATAACCTTGAAATGAGCAGATTTCAAGCACAGCTAAAATCAAGGCACCCATAATTAAGGTTCGATAGCTTCTCCCATAAATTGAGAAGGCTATTAATCGGTAAGAATCAGGGAATAGGCACTTGGAGGGCATGATCGAAAATGATTTGAGCAGAACAATTATTCATTTGTGCAAACGTGAAAAACTGATGAGTTTGCATATTCATGATTCCAAGACTTTAAGATTTTTATCAATTTTTATGTCCGGTCAAAATTAAAACAGAGCAATCCAATAAAAAAGTTGTAAAAATAGTTTGTTGAAAAAACACAAAAACTTAAGCGATATAGAGGTCTCTGACAAGTGGTGTTCACCGTTTTCAAAACAAAATTTGGAGCAAAATAAACAGGCAATCTTAAGAAAAATTGAATAGTTTTTGTTCCAATATTGATGGTAACAACAGAGCAAATAGCAAAATAAAAAAAAAATCACTCTGCTCTGCATACTAATGTTCAAATGCTCTGAGAATTGTGCAGTACAATGGGACCAAAGATTATGGAGTACCTGACACAGAAGTTGGACTTCTGCCGGACATTTAAGGAATTTTTCAGTTGTCATTTGCAAGTTGATTCAATGTAAGACGATGAAACTTTGACATTCATGATTCCTCTGAAATCCTATAATATAAAAGGATGAATAAATTAAGGATAATAACTAGAGGAGTGCTTAAAAATCACAATGGAACTCAGTGGCCGACTTGATTTCACTGAAGAGAGGAGTAAATTTTGGAGGAGACACACTACCAAAAATTACAGTAGCATTGAGGAAGTGCACTTAATTTTCTATAATATATCTGAAAGGGAATTTCATGAGGCAAACTCAAGAGTTCAAGAGTGAAAATATTCGAAGATGCTTCGCTCAGGAATAGATAAGTTTGTCCTTGACCATCTTTGACGATGCTTGAGTTTGGCACTACACTTGCTTGCAGCCTAAAAACATTAAATGAGTGAAAAAACTACAAGCTAGGCTTAAAACCAATAGGATTAGCTTAAAATTTATAACATGTAAAATTTAAAAATCGTCCATAAAAAAATTGGAAAACTGCTCGACATAAGTTATTGTGCGACTAGGAGGACTGTGGAGGTAAATCCGGACAAGTCGTGGGTAGATCACTCGATGCCGAATGTATTTGTTTCTTCTACAGCTAGTAACAATTTTTCGTAGAGCGTCTCAGGCGTAGGATATGGAGGCAGATCCAAACGATTGAAGCACGTGTGAGCTCTGGAAAACATAGGAAAGAACTGCGTTAGAGACAATACTCATGCACGAATTTTTACGATTTTTATTTCAGACAAGATAACATTACTTTTGGCTGGAGAAAGTCTCTTTTGTAACCAAAAGATCATTTAGATACCTTCAAAGTTAGTTTTAATCTTTACTTGGGATTCGAGAAAGGGTTCTGTGCGGGGTTCTTAAATAGGTTTCAACTAACTGTTGAAATAGAAACAAGACTTTGGAACATTTATTTTTACTTTGGTTCATTTTTCTTTCACATTAAAGTTAGTGCTGGATTGGTACTTATCTGGTATTTTAGCATGAAATGCCTTTCCTTTTTACTGAGCATGCCTACATAATATCTAATCTGTAAGGGTTAAAATCTTTTAAAGAGAGGTGCTAATCTAAAGTCTTATGGCATCATGAATAGGAGAATAAATTAGCACATTCAGGTCTCTGAAAAAGAATACGCAAGCAGTTCTTTTGTTGAGAAGGTTAAAGATACATTGGAACTCAATCCTCAATAAGATGCCAAAAAATATGAAAATACTTAAGTTCTTAACCAATTAGAACATTTTTCTCTGCAACAGAGTCACAAAAAGATAGTCGGTGTACATGAATAAATTACTTTGATCTTAAGGCATGATTTGATGCGGCAAATGTGTTTGTAATATTCACTAGCAGCATACAACCTTGAAAGTTCTAGATTCTGAAATAAATCAAGCATTCACACTGAAAAATTACCTTGGTAAACTATTTGGTTTGCCCCATTTCTCTATGCAAAACTTCCTGGGACCGGTCGAACCCCTGAGTGCCGAGAAACCTTCGTAGGGCACACTAGATGTTCCCGTGACAAATTGTAAAAGCCTAAGACGTTGTTCATTGGAAAACCTTTCGATGGCACACCAGAACCATTGGATAACAGCGTGACTATCGTGATAACCTGAAAAAAGAAAATGAACCATTGTGAATGAATATACTTTGCTTAATCTATAATTTAGAACATTTTGAGATGAGAAAATCATGGTTTTTCTTTACTCTATCAAAATGAAATTATTTCTTATACTACTGATCATTGATTTTCGAGGGGAAGGGGGGAGGGAGAGAAAATTATTTAGTTCCACATAAAAACTCTGTTTAGAATGAAAATATAGCTGATTTAGGAAAGAAATGGTGTAAGAAAGATTCTGCTTTGAAAAATGAGAACCAGCTGGGTTGTTGAAGCCAGATTCACACACCGAATGTGGGAGCTGAATGTGGAAGTCATCAACCCATTGCCTGAATTTTCTGCGGGTTGCGCAAAATTAGCATGAGTGGGGGGCATAAGTGGAATTAATTGAAAAAAATATGTGATACAGTGCCTTGAATTCTTGGAATTTTTTATTCCCTCATTTTTCTAACTTTAAGGGGCTCACCTTCTGACTTCAAGGGGCTCACTTTCTGACTTTCAGGGGCTCACTTTCTGACTTTCAGAGACTCGCTTTCTGACATAGAGAGGCTTACTTTTTGATGAAAACCAGAGTTTTTCCTGACATTCATAAGCATTCTCGGCGGAAACACAAAGTTTTCTCCTGATTTCAGTGCGAAGTATTAATTTTTTTACCGTTTGGCAAATTTTTCAGCAGTCATCTAAAACTATGTGATAGCATTCTTGATGTCAAATCAAACAAACCTGAGCGGTATTCAGTATTATTCCTCCAGTCTATCAAATCAATTTCAGCTGTGCCAGCTATTACGAGTTCTAGTTCTCTTGCATCGAATACTGAAACTAGCCTTGGATTGACCACTTCGTAGAAACCACGGACAAGAGACTCAGTCTGTTCTGCAACACCACGCTCAAGTCGCCACCTCACGATGCGCTCGATGTATTCCTGTCAAAATATAAAGCCCTTCTATTAGAATCATCAACAGGTAAGTGTCTACCTGTATGCATTACCTATGTAGACAACTTTTAATTGTACAACAATAATTTGTGATGACTTTAAGATACTTGTCGCACTGATACAATTGATAATAAATTGAGACTTCATACGTAATCTGTGGTATTTTTAGCTCTAATTCGTTTATGTTCATTTATTTATTTTTTGTTCGTTTTTCTTTCTCTTGATATTTTTTCTTTATTATTTTATCCTCGTCTTTCTCATTACATGTCACCATACTGATTTTTAACCCTATTTGACTGCCCATTAAAAACTATGATCTGATGATGTCATTGCAATAAACCATCATTGAGTCGTAAACTTCAATTTCCATACCTATTTCTTAAAGTGATCAGGAGGGAAGGAAGTAACATTGCTATATTATGTGTCCTGGTAAAGATAATATGGACAGATTCAACCGAACTTACTTTCTTATTTTTTTCAGTGACTGGTATATTCCTTCCTCCAGCTTTGAGCTCTCTTTCTACAGGCTGTCCAAAGACTTCCTCAGTGACAGCAAATGTCAGGTCTAAGACTTCATTTGATATATCACGCTCTTTGATCCACAGCAATGACTGATGGAACTCGCTATCTAGGGATTCCAGGTCACTCAGCGACATTGGCCTGATTCACAGACAATGAAACACATCAATTAGGCGCATTTTGATAATAACACAACAGAGTTCAATGTAAGCTCAGACAATATTTTCATCTGACACTATCAATTCTTAACAGATAAGTCAGCAAGCAAGATAACAAAAAAAAAGGCAGTAGACTATTTATTCTTTCCCTGTATGCATAAATTACCTTATCTAAGTATTAGAAAAATACTTGCGATAGGTTAAAAAAGGTAACAACAACTTTCAACCATTATGACGAAATTTTATTGGGAAACAGGGAAACATTGTGACTCACGGATTTCCTTCCAAAAAGCATTAAGATATGCTGAAAAAGGCAAAAGCAACTTTTGATATCACTCCTGAATGATTAACACCATGATCCGTCCAATCGTTTCTTGTTAATGATAAGAAATAGTCATAGCTAGTATACTAAGTCATTAAATGAGAGCAACAGAAAACTATCCAAAGAAGTGACTAAATTTTCGATGAAAAATTTCTGTTACTTTAAACTTTGAATTTGAGTCAATGAAAATGATTAATTGAAAAAGTCTTAAATTTGAAGAGGAGAGAATTTAGTTGTTCAAAACTTACATTCTGAGGAGAGCTTTATAGAAAGGACGTGTGAAAAATACATCCAGTAGGTATTGATGCACCAACGCCAAACCTAAGACACGGCCACTAAACCTAAACCTGAAACAGAGAAAATGACCAATTTTAAATTTAAAATTCAGCAAGAAGACGTAAATTTACTAATATTCTTCATGCAGCTTCACTTTAATGAAATGTACAGCAGAAAAATTATCTTAACAAGAAAATACAGAGATAATGCAGTTTCGGTTTTCCCCTGTGGGTGAGTGCAAAGACAGAGGAAAAAACTTTTTAAACATATTTTATTTTATAAAATAACTAATGCAAAAATTAGAGGTAAATATTCATTCAAGTGAAAGATGTTACTTAAAATAGAGCGATTAAAACTGTTTAAAGAATTTTTATATCCTTCTTCAAAGTGACATCTCATCTAAATTAGTAAAAGACGAAACGGAAATCCCTCTTCTGAAAAATTTGCATCGCTGCACCAAGTTCCTTTTCTTATATCTTCTGAAAAATTTGCATCGCTGCACCAAGTTCCTTTTCTTATATAGATACATAAGTACCTATGTAAATATAATATTCCACTCTGGGCATCCCAGGTAGCAAAGTGCAACGAAAATATTGAAATTAAATTGACATTTGATTTTAATACAACTGTAATTTTTTTACCATTAAATTGCAATATTTTTACATTATTTAGTCGATTTATGCTGATTTTAAGCAATGAACAAAATGAGCTCCATGTGTTAGAATAATGGGCAATATGCAATGCAATGAAAAATTGCTACTTATTTCAATTTTATTGCATTGCAAAGTTTCAATAAATGGGGCCCCTTCAAATAGGAGCTAGGCAACATACACAACACTCATTGTCAGTTGAATTGCCATATGTTTACTCTGTAATTGCTACTAATTGCAATCTGTGCTACTTGGGATAAAGAAACAAAGAACAAGGATGGTTATTTCTACAGATTCTATTCTAACTTTCATCCTGGACGCATAGCTAATAACCAAAGTGCAACAGCTTACCATTCATGTTGATTATCTACAAATGCTGACATAGGGGAGACTTGCACGGTGTAGGTATCATTCGCAGAGTACTCGAAGAGCCCGTAGTAAGGGTTGAAAAGTTCCCGAGAGAGGAGGAAAAAGAATTCTCGAGAGGGTCCACCATAATCCAGACCTTCTTCATGGTCGAACTGGGCGTACAGCTTGCACTTTTGCAAGTCTTTCTTGCTTGCACACATTATTTTGTTGAAGGCGTCTTCTAACAAATGGTCGCGACGAATATGCAATCTGTTGAGTGATAAAAAAGACAATTATTTATTAGCAACATCGATATTAACATCACTCATTTTCAATGGCTTTTCACTCAAAAAATTACTAGACCTACAGCTGGATTATTGCTTGTGGTGTTTCCAATATACAGGGAAACAAGGAAAGAAAAAAAAACTAGTAGGTAAAAATGAAGAGATAGTCTTCTTGACGGCCAAAACAAAAATTTGAAATTTGAAATTCAGGGACTAGGTTCGGACAGATGAGCAAAAACAATCTCTAAAACTCGCTTATTTTTTCGACGATTCACTGTATTTCTGCGACAATGGTATTATGCACGAGATCAAATTTCACCTTCGATTACTAAGAAGTAAAAATTGCNGGGGGGGGGGGGGGGAGAGAAAGAGCATCGAGCTCACGCTCTTAGGGCAAGAATTGGACCGCATTTTGCAATTAGGAGCCATCATTTTTGGCTCAGTTTAGAAACCACGTAAGTAGTATTAGTACCCTATGAACATAAGTGTTTCTACGGATGAGCCAGAAATTATAGTTCCTAATTGCCAAGTACGGTCCAATTAAAAGTCAAAATTTTGAGGATCCATGACTCAAGGCTAGAAAGACAGCGGTGAAAGTGAGTTCAAGTAAAATCGAGAGAACCCTCTCCTATTTTCAGCGAGTCGTGAGAAGCTGCGAGGAGGATGGTGAAGCTTACTTGAGTTTTCCGGGTCCCTGTCCGTAGCCTTTGGATTCGAGGACCTTGTAAAAGTTGCGGAGTTTGGCCTCGAAGTCCCTGCGATGTGGGGCGGGCGCTCGGATGTTGATATTGGCCCTGGGGAGACCAGGCGATGCGTGAGGCGATCCACGCGGAGAAGCAGGCCGGCTAGCCGGCACATAGCTCATAATCTCATGTTCGAAGAGACTGGAAAAAAAACAAAACCAACGTTCTCAATCAGAATTTGAGGTAAAAATGCACAGTAATGTAGCAGGATATGAATGATACAGGTACAGGGTACACATATCAACAAACCGGAGAACTTATCATTGTGTCACGTGTTGACATGACGCCAAGATCGATCAGCGGAGGATAACCGAAGAGAGAGCCTATTTATTTGTACCAAGGTGACGAGGGAGCAGTGTCCCTCTCATTTGAACTCTACGACGTAGTATTCATGATAGCGCAACCGGTTAAGGGCTAAGGGACAGACCGGTAAACGGTGACTTGGCCAGGGAAACCGTCGTAACCGTTAAAGTATGAACTGCGCAATGAGAATTAAAGAACCATGGTACCACGGTCCCCCGCCCCGATCCTAGATTGGGATCCCTACGCCGGCCGAACACCCCAACCCCCCCCCTCCCCATCCGACTGGGCTGCACGTCCGTTGTTTTATTTCGCAACAACTGCCCGCTCCCTCCCTCGCGGCGAAGCGCCACCCCATTCCCATCGCACGACGATAAACATATTTTTAAACGATAACTCTTTGACTTGACAGAGAACGGCGGCCAGAAAGCACGACGGAAGACGACTTCCGACTAGTGTAGCAACGCAAAAACCGACCTCTATCTTTGCCCTCGGATGCGGGTGGAGTGGATACACATGCGTAACGAAAATAATAAGTTTATAGGAGACCCCGTGCAAGAGGGGAGTCATTCGTGGCGGACGAGGAGGGCGTCAATTAGCCCCCCCCCCCCCCCCCCCCCCCCNCGATTTTGGTGATTTTAAATTATTTTCGAAGGGATGTTCCTATTCCACGTCCGTCAGAAGTTCCGGAATTTTGAACATTTTAGTTCAAAATTTCCGAGAAAGTTCCGGAAAATGCAAAAGATCCGGAACCTGTAGGGAATTTCAAAAGTTCCGGGCAAATTCAGAAAAATCTCAAAAGTTCCGGGAAATGGGAGCACTGTTTCAAAGATTCGATTTCACAGAAACCACAGTGGATACGGCCATACAGTGAACGTGGATGACGTCATTCAACGTGGAGACACGACTCCGTGATCAAAGTAACTGGCCGCATCCCTGATCCATCCATTTTCCATGACTTTTGCCGATGGCCCTTGACTCTGATCACTTGGAATTTTTGGGTTTTAATAGCGATGATTTATTCTGCCGTGCCAAGAAAAACGCCGAATGAACAATCGAATAGGCCAAATTTCCACCGATAAAACGTTTACTTCTAAGGAAAGCTACGGAGATTTTTCCTTGAAATTTTCAGGAACTTTCGGTGAAATTACGAACATGATTATCTGAAAAATTGGGATACGTTTTTTTGCAAATTTTCCCAAAAATTCGTGATTACTACAGGAAATTTGGCGACGCCTCCAGGTTCATACGGCGTTCTTCCTTACCACGGCAGTATTGATCGGACATTGACCAATCAGTCCCCAAAATCGCGTTGGCCCCCTCGGGCAGGTGCAGCGGTTGCTAAGACACGCGTGCGCCGAGGGGTGGGGTTCGATGGGGGAACTTTGAAACGGGGTGCCTCCCCCCCCCCCCCCGGGGGGGGGGGGGGGGCAACTTGCGAGCAGTGCACGCAAGCGATACGCGCGGATTCGACGGTCCGCGGCCCTCCGCACAGGGTTGCCGTGTTGATCCGGAAAATCTACACTTTTCCCCGTAGAGATGAGTGGAAAATGTGCGAGTTTCATCTCACAATCCGGCAACCCCGCCTATGCACGAAACGAGCGTAACGCTACCGGTGCTCGTTAACGCCTCTCATTCATGTCATCGCCAAGATTCCGGGCGAGGAGGGAGCGGGGGGCGTTGGGACTCGTCGGAAAATGGGAAAATACCTGCCGCAGCCTCCTGTAAGGCTCCGTGCGTGAGCTCATCGGAGAGGTTCATTGAACTCCTCGACATCTGCCGGAGGAGCCATCGCGTTTTATCATTCTTCTGGAAAAAAAAATGATTACGATTTTCGCTTTCTTCTCCATTAAAAGACGAAATATTTTCTTTGGCTGGAGGGAAAAGCTATGGTGGCTTCAAAGAGCCTTTTGGGATTTAACGCTGGTTTTCACTGGAAAAAAACACATTGAATCTAAAGCCCAGACTCTTAAAAACATCGACAAGAAAAAGTACTCTTGATTCAATCAGATTTAAGCTTAAATCAAGAGCCAAGGCTCTTAATTTGAGCAGATTTCCTTTTGATTTAAGCTTAAATCTGATTGAATCAAGAGTCCTTTTTCTTGTCAATGTTTTCAAGAGTCTGTACTCTAGATCCAATGTGTTTTTTTTCCAGTGTGGTTTTCATTATTTCAAAGGGATTATTAAGAGCACGTTTATTGACTGATTCTTTCAGGGTGCGCTGGAATAAAAAATTTCTACCGTCAGAACCGCGAAAGTTTCAGCCGTTTGATTTGTTGAAGTGAAAAGGAAAGCTAGAATAATCTTTTTGCAAAAACGCTTTTCCTGGAGGCCACGGCCTCCCAAAGTTGGAGACAAAAATCGTCTTTCGAACACTGTGACAATGTTGAGCGCGAAGAGGATGGAAGTGGCCCCCAGGGAAAGCGTTTTTGGAAAAAAAAGTTATACCACCAAAAACGTCTGTTTTTGACCCAAAGAATAGACTCCCTCAATATTCGTACATAATCCTGGGACACCCTGTAGATAGCCATGGGCATATCGCCCTCAAGTACAGCTTTCACAAAGTTCATTTTTTCTGTGTAAAAAAAGCATCATCGAATTCGACTGAAAATGTTTCTATGGGTCTTATAGGCCGCCTCGACTTTAAGGCCTCAATCTACGAGCCTAATTCAGAGGACCTTGAGGGGTGGGGAAGCGTATGAAAGTAGGGGGCATGATGCCCGAGGGCCACCGTGGACCATGAAGGAGGACGGGAAGCGGCGAACGGAACGTCCCAAGGATGATGATCGAGAGAACGCTGAGCAAAAATAAAAGGGCTCGGGGAAAATCAGGATTGCCAACGCGATGCGTCGCGACGCCCGCGGCTCCCGGCGAAGGCGTCGGCGTCGGACGCGAGAGAATTTCGCCGTCGCGTCGCTGTGATGCCCCTCCTGGAACGGTTGTCGACTCGGCTTCTCAACTGCCGTGATTTAAGCCAACAAGTCAAAGAGAAATAAAAGAAATAAGACATGTTACAATTTACATAAAATTACCTCAAAAACTACTGATCGAAAAAATCAAGCGTACACGGAAAAAATGAAATTGCTGATTTACCAATTTTGTAGTGTCCGACACCGACATGTTTTAAAGTGGGTTTTACAATAAAAAAAATGCGAATTTAACAACCTCCGTGATTAAATTAGCTGTCAAATATTGTACAATGTACAGTTGAAACAAGTCGGACATATTTTTTAGCAATTTAATCGTTAAATCAGCAATACATTTTTTCAGTGTAGAGCAATTGGAGTGACGCACCAGAGAAGGAACTGCGACCTATTCCGATCAAAAAACAAAACGTTAGAGGGAACTGCGATCTTTGTGCTATTTTAATAGTAGAGCACTTAAATATCATTAAACGCATTCTTCTCTATCTCTATCTTGCTAATGTTTATTGAATATCTTTTTTATATTTATTCATTTGAATATGTTTAAGTGCTGTTCCTATGATCCAACGTAAAAATTTCCGAGTCGGTCCTTGAAAATGAACGGACGAAAACGATACCAAACAGACTAATCTCCGAAAATGAGTAAATTCTCAGGATTCTTCCGAGAATCACTAAAACTTTATAATCCGCAGATTTACCTAAGTCGCTCGCATATGATAGGTATTATAAAAGCTCTGTACATCCTCGAGTCGAGCGATAAAAACTATAAAAATTCCTTATTAATCTGCAAATTCCCTGGATTTTCTTAGAGAAAGAAAGAAAGAAAAAAAAAACTTTCAAAACAATATGTAACTTAAAATTCTCTTCGAATCAACAAGAAAGTTCCTAGAAATTCTTTCACGGTAAAAAAAAATCCGAAATTCCCTGAATTGTATAAAAAAATTTCCGCAAATTACTTGGAGGTTGGAAAATCTAAAAAATCCGTTGGCGATACAGACGTCACGAAAATGAAAAAATAAACTATCGAGATATGATGAGATTTCCAGCGTGAGGCTGCGGACAGTGGAGGATGAACCCATTGATGGCGGTGGCATTGTGGGGACTCGGGCTTTGTGCGGCGGGGCCCGTTATCACGGCGGGCGAAAATTCAAAACTGCGACTCCGGGTCCGGCCACGGCCAGGTGCTCGAGTGGCCGTTCCCGCCGGTCATCTGCCGATCCCGATCCACCGGCCACCAAGGACCCCGACGGGTCCCCAGGCCCCCGACGCGACACTGCCCTATATTCCGTCTCTATTATCTCGCGGATATCCTGGGGACCATCGTCCTCTCCTCCTCCAAAAAGCTACTGTCGGGAATCCACACTGATCCGATGCGTGGCCTCTACTAAAGTGGAGTACCTTCATGGAGAGAGTATGGACACTGGGTTACATGGAACTCTTAGGATCCAAAAATGTGGCGGCGACTCTCCAAGGTATCTACTAAAATAGGCTGGCCAAGAATTAGTACTTTTACCGTACTTTTTCGGTACATTATTTCCAAGAAATTCAGTACCTCCTTAACAGAAAAATTTCAGTTCTTTTTCAGTACCTCCATTTGGCGAAATTCGAAAATTTTCAAAAATTTGAATTTCTCGCTCTAACTGCGACAAAAATGACAAAAAAATGAAAAAAATCCGGACCTTACTGCGGAATTTCCGCATTTTTTCGGTACTTCCGGATCGCCCTTAAAAAATCAGTGCTCTTTCCGGACTTTCCGGAAATTCCGGACTTGGACACCCTGCTGATACTAGAAACCCTGAAAATGACCCAGAGACTGATGCACTACTTAGAAAAAGCGTTGCACAATTAAAAAAAAAACTTAAAACCTCAGAAGCGTGGGCGTAAAAACACACGAAAGCAGCGAAGCGACCGCGCTAT